GCCGAGCGTACCGGTCCAAATGTCCAAATTCAGGGACCACTCATTTCATCCAATTTTTTGTGTATGCAGGTTTGAGCCCAGACCCAGACTATGAATATACATAACTGCCTAAGCCACATTACAACTACAGTGACTACAGATGACTACAGTAGGTATCAAAACCCCTGGCAGCCTGGCTGCTGCATCCTGCAGGTGATGCCGAGACACCGATGTACTCGCCATTGCGGGTCACTTCGACCTTCAAGCGTTTCCCCACGAGGTGCGCGTGGTGCATCACACCCAGGACATTGATCTCATCGACGTCCCACCTAAAAGGTCAAGGATGGTCAAGGTGTCTAGCTGAGATGGCCATTTCTTTATTATTGGCTTTACCTGAGAAATACACCAAAACCAGTTGTTGCAGCTTTCTGATGTGTACATTATGCTGAGCTCACCTTCACAAGTGCTGTACAAGCCAGTCTCATCAACCCAGCTCAACCAATCTCTAGCCAAGGCGCTGTGTGCAGGCAGCTGGCACCACTGCACTGTCAATCACCAGATTAGATTGTCCCGGGGCCAGGGGCTGTCTCTGTCGGGGGTCCACGCCTCCTGCGATGCCAAAAGTCTCGGCATCCTCGGTGCTGGACGTCTCAAACTTTAGAACCAATGGGAACCCAAAACCAATGGGAAAAGCATGGGCTTCTGATTTTTCCAGATTTGGAGTGTCACAAGTGTCTAAAGTCATCTGGAAGTCTGTCAAATGGTTTGGTGAGATTGACTGATACTTGGAGCAGAAGTAAATCCGCAGAATCCATCTGGCTATGGATCAAGACCCTGGTTACGGTTAGCTGGTTTCCACATCAAAATAGTTTGTTGTTCCATCCTTATGTAAGATCACAGGTGGCGCGGCCCCACTTTGATAAAACCTCTGCCAGGCATCATGTGTCCGCAGAGCCGGCGAGAGGGTCATGCGCACGCCACTGCTGTCGCGGACACCAGTGTCCTCAGTTGGATTGTAGTAGTGAACTTGCAGTGCATAGAAGCGCGCTCCGTTGCCAACGGGAATACCTCAGCCAAAAGGATCCAAAAATGTCCCTGGGAAAGTTCCCTTAAAATGGAAAGTTCCCACAAAACCACCAGTGAATTTCCGTAGAATTTCCCAAACGAGAACAACAAATTATGGGCAAGGTGGACAAAAAAAATTGCCGGGGAAGTTCCCTGAAAAACACCAACAGTCACGAGTTCTCTTAAGAGCACTGGAACTATTGTTTTGCGTGACCCCAGGCGACAGCGTACAATACATGGGGGAATATCTTGATTTTGATATATTTTTGACTTGAACATATATTGGGGGAACAAAGGTTTAAACATAAAAACAAAAAAGTAAATTGCAGTGTTTCCAGTTCGCAAAGCTGCCCAGGTACCCACATCATCTGGCAAGATCAGATCTTCCCCCCCCAACAGCCCAAGGCCATTTGCTGGTCTGACATCCCATCAGCATCCGTTCGCAATCGTAAATCACCTGGCCAACCGATACTACTGCGAAATCGCCTCATTCCCAAGGTATCCCCTTCAGTTGTCTCACCATACGAAAATTCCACGAAGTATATAATGTGAATGTGCCAAATTTTGACCCACCGTTTTTGCAGAAGATGAGGAAGTCCCCAAGCTGCCTGCTGGTGAGTGAGATTGTTGGCAGCAGCCGCCTCAAACACAGGTGCAAGTGGTTGAATAGCTCAAAACACATGCCATGGCACACATTCTTGACTCGTTCTTGAACATGCCTAACATCTAAGATATCTAAGATGAACTTGTGCATCTTCCTTTCATTGATTCGCATGATTTACCACATTGATCCACATTGACCATGCGGTACATCTGCAAATGGACTCAGCAGGTCCGTGCCTCATCCGAACATTCGAAGAGGATCATGTGATGCACGTACTTGGCCGAGGCTGTAGCCAGGACAGGAGCGAACTTTGCCACATGATGTTTGTCAGAGGAATTGAGACCAGATGGAAGGACTTCAGCCATGTCGAAGATACCTCCCAGTGAAGATTTCAGAGGCAAATCATCCCATTGGAAGGTTCATGGGTCAAATTCTTGTATCATCTTGTATCCATATTGAGTTCAAATTTGTGAACACAACCAGATTTTGAAGTGCTTTTTCATGTGTGCAGAGAGGTAACATTTGGATCCTCTCGAGATGTTCAAAGCAATATTTATCAAGTTCATCATCATCTTTCCAAATTGTCATCTTGACTTAGTTGTCTGAGTTGTCCCCAATTTTGAGCAATTTTTTTTGGGACACCCCAGACTTCTGAGCCGCGCCCCATGCCCCATGGCGTTTTTTTAGCCTAGGCACCACAAAGATAGGGATTCCTGGAATCGCCTTCACCTTCCAATCAGACCAAGCAGACATGGAAATCAGGGGTTTCTTTTCATTATTTGGGTTTGTCTGAAAATAGGGCACGCCCAATTTCAATGGATTCCATTAAATATTAAAATATATTCAAATGATCATTTGGAGGGTACGACCCCATAAAAAAGTCAACTGATAGCAATTTATAGCGTAGCTGTCTATTGTTTTCTTTTTGATCAGGCGGTCCGGAAAATTCCTATGGCAGCTATGGCAGCTATGGTTCCAAAAACACACCAAACTGGCATCACGTGGCCATGGCAAAAGACCTTGATGCTCCACAAGGACATCGGGCATGGTCATGGTGCTGGAAGGGAAGCTGCTCATGTCAGGTGCCGCTGCTGGTGGACCCCCCACCAGATTGGTGTGGAACTGACCTGTGCCGAGGGTGGAGTTGATGTGTTGGTGAACCAAAACCCTAGGGCCTCACTGCTATGGGGAAGAAAGCAAGCAGAGTCAAATGCCCAAACCTCCACTTTTCATACTTTTCCCAAATCAAAATCAAATGCCATGGAACCCGTGGCGGATGTAGAAAAAAAAGAGGTTTCAGGTGGCGCCAATCGCCTCGTGACTTGTGGTAGCTGAAGTCATGGGAATAGCCCAGAGCCCAGTGCATAAACATCCCAACGTCTTCCATGGCATACCTTCCACGGTTGAACAAGCGAGAAGATATGAGAAGATCAAGAAGATTCACCCCAGCTCCTTTCAAGCTGAGAACTGAAAACATCTCAAGGCTTGAGTTTGAGAGTGTCAAAGTGTTGGCTTCGCTTTGCAACATTGGGATTTATTGGGATTTGGGAGTTTATTGAGAGACGCTACACCGCTACATCAAGCCCAATGTGTTTTCGATGGACTTCAACCTCTATGCGTCAGCCTCTCTCCAGCTAGGCAGGATCGTGTGGGCAAAAGCACTCCCCAGCTAGTCGAGCCATTTACTTCGTCCGCGAACATCAGCACAATCTCCTGAGCTATTCTTGTGAAGTGGTGAATGCAAATTATCCAAAGTCATCCAAATTTCACTTCTAAAGGGGTTTGCTCAGTAGCTGACCATCCCTCAACTATTGAACTATTGGGAAGCAATGCGAAGCAGATTCACCATGACGTAACGAGCTGAACCTCCTCGTTTGGCGACCAAACACCAACGACCCAAACAGCGCTTGGGCGTGAGCTGCCCAGGGGCTTGGGTTTCTTGCAGTTCAGGCTTGACATAATCAGCAGAGTAGCGCTCCTGGAGGTCAGTGGACGAAACAGAAACAGGCTCTGCCCAGCTGTTGCTGTTGCATCCATTGAAGCACCAGAAACAAAGGGCCAGTCCTCTGCGATCCACTGACCTCCTTCTTGACGTACCACGAACCTCAGTGAAACTCTGATAACTTCGGAAAGTGGTTGGTTCATAAAAAATGGCCTAAAATTAAAGATGACCAAAATCGGTGGGATGGAATGCAATCTTGAAGGTAAACCCATATCATAGCAACTTGCTGAAATTTTGGCATCGCTGGGTGAAGATTTCTAGCCTTCAAGTTGTGTCACACTTTTGGTGCGTTGTGGTTTTCACAACAGAATAGCTGGCAGGTAGATATTCATCTCCGCATTTCGATTATCCCACAAACATTGACCCACATCTCAGTTTTGGGGTAAATATCACAACTTATAAATAATAATATATATATATATATGAGTAGATAGATGCAATATGTTGTGTTTATAAGTATTTACCACTCGCAAAGATGATCCCATAGGTATTGACCCACTCCCATGTAAATAACAATAAACTATAAAATTCTTCGGAAATAGGATTCCCCTGAACATCAAATTTCATCAACAAACGTATTCAATATCCATATTATTCCATATTAAATGTACAGTGTCTACAAGGGACATCTTCTCATATTTTCCATGATTTTCCGATGTTTTCCCATATTGTTTCTCCAAACGAAATGTTAGGTTCGGTTTGGCCTACTTCATCAGCATAGCCCCATACTTTCAGTGCAAAGAAAGGCCACAAGCTCAGCCTCGCCAAGCAACTGCTGGGCACCTTTCATGCCACCGTTGCCACCCACCGCCAGAGCACTCCATCCGCTGTGACTGTCCACATGAAGACCGAGCTTCATAAAATCACCGTCGGCACTAGGTCCAAAGTACCTGAAACATCCACAAAAATCCACAAAAAACCATTAAAAGAAACGATGAAACACCATCATCCAGGAGCCAACATGAGTCCATGACACGGGATAAAACTACGCATCGGATCACTGCCCAACGGTTGCTTGCTTATGTCAACCGAGAGATAATAAGAACATATAAGAGATCAACAAATTATCAAACATCAAAAGGATCCTATAAAAATCTATAAAAAGGAAACCAAATCTGCATGAAATACATTGAAATACGACCAGCTTGTTGCTTCCCGGATACATGTACATCATGCCACTTTGCAGCTCTTGGCAAAACGGCCAATGCTCCTGAGAAAAGCTGCCATGGTCAAAGCACGTGCCGGCCACGGCAGTGAACAACGACGCAAGGAGCCACATGACGCAATGCCGCAAGGCTAAAAGCGGGCTTTTAACTCTGTCTCTGAGCCTCTGAAATCCAAATGGCTGAGGGGAATCCCACGCTGGATCCACTGAAGTTTTCTCTGAAATCCATTGGCTACGGGTCAAACTTTTGGGGTACTTTTCCGCACCCACAAAATTGGTCCTTTTCGGTATGAAACCATGAGATCCTGGGCGACCATCAAAACCTGAGACATCCTGAGACTGGGGCCGCCAGCAATGATAGTATCACCTGCCAGTGATGTCTCATTGCAACTGGTTTGCAAAGAAATCTACTTAAAACATGCATACTATCGATGCATGCAGAGATGATCACCAAAATTATTTGAGATTCCATTTCTTGAGATTTCTTGGTTCAGTTTCTCAGGGTATCAAGGTTTTTGAGTGCTCCGGATCTACACGCCATTGGGGCGGCCACAGAGTGCCCCAGCCATCCTCGCACCATCGCCCCACCAGCTTCAAGGGCCAATGCTGCACATGTCAACCCTTCCGGAAGGTGAGACCTGATTCAATCTGATTAATGATTAAGGGTGTTATATAATGATTTTATATTGGTAAATACTGATCTAATGACACCTGACGCGCAGTCATGACATGTTGTTACATCATCAACCCCTCTTGGGCGACTTGTTAAACCCTTCTTGTTGAGGAGTCTACCTGCCTGGTGGGGTTGTTGGGAACTTCATGTTGATCTGCCACCCATGACTCGTTATACACATGTTGCATGTACCAAAATGATATCAGCACCATATCATTTCGGAGTTATTCGTGCTGATGCCACAACCTTCCCGAAAATGCTGAGTCAACAAGGATCAACTCAAATGCCAGTTCCACAGGGAATGTAATGATAAACATTGATAAACCATGTGATTCTGTTTTTCCCCAGATTTTCAGGTACCAAAGCCATGTCTTACGTGGCACAAATCCACATCCTGACAGCGCACGCCGGTCTTTGTTGCTCTCCCCGTGTGAGCTCAGACTGAGGCTGAAAGAAACCTCACTGCGCGAAACCCCAAACCTCAGCCCAAACAAATCAAGTCTCGGCAGACCAAACATGCTTTGGCCATGTAGATGCATATATTATAATATATATATATATTATACTATATATATATATTATACTATATATTCAAAATATTTGGAAACCCATTTATATGATATTAACATATATTAACGTTGATTAGGAATTTGTCTTCTTTATCACTATGCCAGTTTGGCGCTGTCATCCACCAACGCTTCGTCTCTGAAGGATCTTGGAGATCTGATATTTTCATGTCCGCTTAGCCGCTTAGCTCAGTCCCAGGCTACAAATGTTGCAGCTTCCTCAACATCCTAACGGATGAGCACTGGACAGTGTGTCTCTGGACTCCAAACACCAGTCCAAAATCGCTCAGTACTAGATACTTTTCGATGCTAATTAGTACTCAGAGGTCTGTCTACAGTATTCTACAGTATGATCTACCAAATCTAGCTGAATGATTGTTTGTTTCCCTGCGCTCAGGAGCGTCTGAGTGCAGGCTGAAACATGTCATGTTAATTCATCTAGCTGAATGATTAAAATAACCATATATTAACCATATAATAACCATATATTAACCATACAATAACCATTCTCAATGGTTTTTCAGCATGTTTTTCACCTCTCCTGCCAATGTGAGCATTGTTCTCATCGCAGCCAATGGCAGTGACTTGTTTCACAAGCTCGTCTGCAATCTCTTTGCAACGACTTTCCTTGGCTTCGGCCAGTCCAGATTGGATGGGATGCATTTCTCTGGATTGGTTTTCACGGGAAAATCTACAGGAAACCATGGTTTTTACCATCAAATATAGGGGGTTCCTGTAAATTTTCCCATCATCCAATTCTATGAATTTCAGAAGAGCAGAGGATCAATGGCTGATATACATTGAATATCATTGAATCAACTCGTACAGAGTCCATCTGAAGTCTCACACACACCTTCTACTGCCAACACATGTGAAAAAAGTTTTATATACAGTATCTTAGTATCTTTTCCTCTGCATCCGTTTCTTGAAGAAAATCAAAGCACTTGACAACTCTGGCCCTGAAGGATGACTTACTCACTACGCTTTCCAACAAATCAAGCCGGATACTTCCGGGGTGTGTCCCTGGTCATCCCTGATCGCTGTCAAGGAGCCCGGACAAAGTCGTTGGTTTTGATCCACGGCACATAAGCATCCAACAGCGGCAATCGAGAACGGTCAGGAGTCACACAGCTGAGAATCGCTTCTCTCAGAACCACCTGGGCATTCAGCGGGGCTGCGAACGATTCAAAAGATTTGCTGGCGCTTCTGACCCCATCAGAGTCAGTTTTCTGGATCTTGAACATCTAAAATTCAGCCCAGCACAACCAATAATATCAATAATATTCAATTACTCAGAATAATGTCAACCCCAAAAGTACTGAACCCCTTGTCATCGCAACATCGCCGGCAGTTGACCCCCCCCTGAGCTCCCGGGACGTAGAGCGGACGCTCCAGCCATGGGCTCGCTTTGATCCCCCACAGCCTCAGCCATGTCACCAGAACTTCCGAAACGAAACTCACCAATGGACACGTGGAATCAAATGGATGGATAATGATAAATAATGATCAATAATGATAAACTATGATACAGCAAATGGTTAGAATGGTTAGACTCCAAGGATTGCCCCCCCCAAAACAGATTCAACAAATTAGCGAAAAGGAGGCTCCAGATGCATCCTGGGTACTTCGTGAACGCCAAGGAGAGGGACAAGGCGGCCTCTGGCCCTGCACACCTACAAAACAGGTGTGCAAACATTGGCAGGTCTCGGTTTCAGGTTTTAGGTCTTTTGGGACATGTTGCTACCAACTTATCATCCGTATATGATCATGTATCGTCCACTTATCATCCAGTTATCGTCCATCTGTCATCCATTGATCATCCATCTATCAATTTTATGGTGGCAAATAGACCATAGATAGCTTGAACCTTCTTGAATCACAGCTCCGGCTTCCCCACCTGAACAGACCTTCAATGGCCTCCTGCTGCATGGCATAGAAGTGCTCCCCATATTCCTGGCACCGCGACAGCGTTGACAGGGAGGAGGCCTGCTGGGCAGGTGCCAGCAGACCACGGGCTTGAACTGTTTTCGAGACAACCTGTTGGTTGATGATGTTCACGATGTTGGTTGATGTTGGTTGATGTTGCTAATGTTGATGTTGATGATTAGTTTGTGGGATGTAGAGTCATGCTACCCTTGCTATTCATATCTTACAATTGTGATAACCGACTAACTGGGAATGCCGTTCTGAACCAACCAGTATAGTATGGGATGGATCAAAGCCTAGTGCACCATAGTGTACCATAGTTGGTGGGATGAACATCCAGCTATACCAGCTATGAAATGATGTGAACATCAGGTGTACATGTGTTTTTTTCCACATATACCCATATCAGAAACCGCTCCGCCACATCGAAGAGTGAAAAAATCCAGGGTCCAGTGAGGGGCCACATGCAGAATCACCACAGCGCTGAGTTTTTTCTGTTGCCATTTCTGGACCCGGAAAAATGGCACGTGTTCCACACAAAAAATGTGGTTGGATTTTGTCACCATCTTCTTTCCATAACATCCCTGAAACATATCTTTAAATCATTCAACTGAAAGTCAACCTCTGACATCCCTGATCGATTCCATCACCTCTGACATCTTGGAATGCTCTCGCAATCGTCGGAGAAGGCTCATGGCCACCTGCAGGCAGTCTCACATCACCAAACTTCTGCAAGCCTTCGAAAAGAGCGACATGCGAATTATGAATTCAAATCACAATATATAACTACTCAATATATTTCAATGTTCATAATGTTCAATAGTAATAACAATATATAACAATTCAATAATATAAGTACAGTATCGTACCAAAATGGCTGAGCTAGGCTGAGCTGTTTCACTCCGATTTTGTTTGGGAGCTACTTTTTGCCCCCGCCCATGCTCCAAGACTCACCGGAAACGCAATAGCTTACCTTCTGGACCTGCAGGTCGCACGCCGTGTCCCTTCCAATGAAGCAGTTTTTTTGGGCGTTTCGCCAGCAACTCTTTTGGACAACTGAATTCACCAGGTGAAACAAGGATTCAGCTGACCACGTCCCGCACGGGGACTTGCTTTGCGTTGGGTTTGTCTCCACTTCAAAGGAAAATACTATTTCCAAAATCTCCCAGGTGATACTTGGTCAAAGACGATGAAACTGTAAAAACAGAAGTCTGGAGTCGTCGAAAATCCGCGCAGCGCACAGATCACATGTCTACGCCTCGGAGCTGCGAAGGACTGGTTTGCCCATGGTTCACCGTTCACCAGGCGACAACCGCAACCATGGTGAAGCACCAAAATTCAATGAGACACTTTTGAGTCCACCATGGGACATGGCAAGTCACCCTGAAGCCAAATTCTTAGCCACGGCAACCCTCAACTAAGGTAAGCCTTAAAATTTATAGTAATTTTCTCCAGTTGAATTGCCATAGATTGGGCCAGAAAATCCCAATGACTGTAGATTATCACTACTACGGGAAGACGAGGCATGTTGACTTTCAGGTCGCAAAGAACAATTGCCCATTTTGAGACAAACATGAGCGACCACTGGACAGCAGGCCGACCCTGGACAGCTGAGCTTTTCACCAGCGAAATCACTCACGTCCGTCAACTCCTTACTGGCGTCCTGCTCGGAAAATGAGGTGGACATGGTCAGCAAAATCCAGGGGTAGTACACAAGAAGGATGCGATTTCTCGGGATTCATTTGGCGTTGCCAAAAACCTGGACTGGCAAACTTCGGGTTTTTTTTGTTGGAAAATAAACGAGTTCGGGTTTCATTGGGTTTCCCAAAGTGCCCGTGAGAATACAACACCTTCTGCATGTAGCCATCTAATGCCATTCAGTCTACACAGCCAATTGCGCAGATGGGGCTTCCTCCCACAAATTCCCCCTCTCTGGTATGAAAGGTTTTTTGGAGGTTTCCAAATTGTCCTGGCGATAACTGTCAGATTGACAAAGATCAGCAAGTATCAGGCGAGGACTTTGTTGACACTGCTCAAAGTGGGCATTTGCTGCTTCAAAAACTCTGTAGCCTTACGTCAAAGAACAGTTTAAGTTTATCATCATTTTTTCAAATATATCCGTAGATTATCCATAGATTTATCATCCACAGTTGTTCATCAAAAAATGTAGATTTCCATAGAAGTGCAAATCCCCCAGAAATCTGCCCCTTTTCTCCTCCGCTTTACGCGTCCGACTCGCTGGGCTGTGGCGAAACTGGAGCTGGCTGAACAAGTCATTCAAAAACCGCTGCTGATCTAGAATCTAGAAAAAAATGCAAACAAATGGCAAAAATTGATGAAAAATGGATGATATATGATGATATTGTGCTGTTTCTACTAATATGATCTAATATAGATTGATATAGTACTGATGACTACTGGTGATTACTGATGATATATGATGATTGTTTTCACTCAGTACTGATGACTGGTGATTCCCAATGATATATGACTAATTATGATTACATATTATGATTACCCACTGACCTGTTTTCAGGTTCCTCCCCGTACTTGTGAAATTCCAGAACTTGGGACCTGTCAGACATATCAGGCTGCCATAGCAGCCATAGAGTCGCCCTGCAACCCGGACACTCCGCTAAAATAAACACTGCAGGCGCATGGATTCGGGGTGCCTCTATCCACAGGGACCAATACCGCGCTCTCTGAACGCACCACCAGATCTGTCACTGGTGCTGTTTAGTCCAGAACTTGCAGCCTGAATCCTTTACAACACAGCATGGAACAGCCAAAGTTTGGGAAGAGTCATGCAATGTCATGCAAAGAATTTTGGATCACTTCACTCTTTGTGCAGACCTCTTTATCCTCTTTCCTGGGGAACAATGCCCTCGGCCCTCGATGGACATCTATGTATACTTGTGAAGCAAAGATAGTTGAAAAAGTAGGCAACGAGGTATCCCGTGTATATCCGTGTATTTGTTTCAACAAAAGTTGGGACAGCTCTACCGTGCAGTAAGGTTTTCACGCCCAAAACTGTTTGGCCTCCAAAATCCTCGGCGAAGGTCTCGGGAGTGGAGGAAGCATCGCAGCCAGCAGCTGGATCTATTCACGGAATCGCCAGTGCCGCCCTCCTTCCGTGCTCCGATTTTTTTTAATCGCAATTCAAAGAATGACGATGGAACCTGGTGGCACAGCACTGAAGATGAACTGCCACTGACGAACTCCGAACGAACGGGACAGGTCCCCGAAGGGCCTGAACTGGGACAGGTCCCCGAAAGGCCTGCATAACGAATTGAGCTGAAACGCATATCACTGCATTTCAACAAAAAGGTTAGCCAATCTGTACTGCATTTCCCACATTTTTCATGACCAGGGATCGCAAATCATGTTGGAACATACTTTCAGCTACCATCTGGTCAGGCTTGGGAAATGCGAGCACTTCTATTCATAGCAGCATACATGCGTGATGGCATCATATAGCATCCGCAATTATCCGACTTGAGGTCTTTCGACTGTTGACTCAATGTCCTCCAGAATTGTGGCCAGTGAAGTGTTTTCACTCTTGTTCTTTGGCCGCCTGTCATTCTGGGACAACAAGGCACAACCGGCACTTACATGTTTTCTCCCAACTCAAGCTTCTGCTTCTTTGCAGAACCCATCGGCAAGAGATGCCCATGCGTGCACGGAACACGTCGTAACGCGATAAATCAAGGGCTTTGTCGCGTTAAAGTGCGACGGGACTGGGACGTCCACCACCCTGGACAGGGAGAAGGTAACAGCAATGGAAGGTGTAAACCATGTGTTTCATTGTTTCATCATTGTTTCATCTATGTTGATCGATTTTATCTCGTTTCCATGGCGGAAATAGAGGAAACCATCCGCCAAATGGTGACGGTTGAGACCTCCACCCCATGGCTTCAGTGCCCAAATGCACATGCACGGGGGCAACATGGATTTATTGGCGTGATCTGGCCGTCACAAATTCCATTGTCATAGCACGCAAGCAGCACTGCTATGGTCTGGAATCGCGGTTCCCCAAAACACACAACGTGCAGGGATGAACACAGCTAAGCCGCTTGGCCACTGCAATTTTTCTTGCGGATTTTGCATGTGCTCAGCCGTGAAATTCTGATTGGTCACTTCAGAATTCTAATTCGATTCCTACAAAGCAAGGTCTGTTGAATACTCCAAATGAAATGACGACATGTACATTGTCGAATGGTGCGTTCTGCCGAATACAGGCAGAATGCGTTGGTGGATTTCACTGAAGAAAATTTTGCTTTGCAACAAATGCATAGACATGGCTTCGAACTGTTGTCTCACCATGCAAATTCACTTGCTTTCTAACCTCAAAAACTGGGCGGAGAAGTTGGAACTGGCATTGTGGGGATGGGGATAGGCTGATAAGAAACAGCTATTTTGGTGTGAAAACCAGGGTGCCTACATGTTTGACCCGTAGCCATATACTTTATAGATTTTTATGGAATTGCTACGCGCGTAGACATGGGGAAACTCAATCAACTTGGACCCGGACCGCAATGCCAAGTAGAGTCATTTGGTAAGCCCGGTAAGCTCTAAATCATCCCCAACTTTACCAACAGTGAGTGGGATTTCAAATGAAACCATTCCCAATCCTAGTTGGCTTTGCCACATGACAATCAACTTCCCATCTCCATTCACCGAACAATCGCAGGCTCCTTGCAAACCAGCGACTTGCGGGCTTCGAGTCCGCTTACAAATTTCCTGAGAGTCCGCCCAAGAGTTGGTCAAACCCGCTGGAGTGGGATGGCTTTGGATCCTTTGGACCCCAAAACAGCAAATCCGATTAGAATCTGGGACGGGCGATTCTAAGATCTTGAGAACAGCAATTTCGCCAAACAATGCCAAACGAAGCATAATAACAATAATCATCACAAGTGGCACTGGGGAAAAAAATCTCCACAAGACTCAGCTGTGAAACCAGCGATTTCTCGTCAGGCGTCAAGTGTGAGGCTTCCTCAGCCGTGTAGCGCTTGATGGGGGAACGCTGGAGGAGTTTGGCCACGAAGGCGATCGCATCCTGCGGCCAGCATGGCCATGTTTCAAGGGTGGATGATGGTGGATTCCCCACATGTTTATCTAACAATCTAACACTATTTGGTTATCTTGTGGAAGACCTATCATGATCAGTATCAATGTGTCAACTGATGAGAAATTTACTGGCATCTTTTGGATATGTCCAGTATATATGATCATGTACGTACTGTATGTATATATGTATATCACATTATAAAACACAGAGATGGGAAGAAATGGAAAAACCATGAAAAACCCTCAACTGACTGTAGATGATGTTCCTCTTGAGCTTGGGGTTTACAACGGGCATTGTAGAAATGACACTCAGGCCATTTCCACAATTGAAAGACCATCCCACCTGGTTTCCAGATTTCGTGAATCTACTGTATTCGAAAGCAAAACGAGAGTGCGTTCCTTTTGAAGTCATGTTCGGGAAAGCCATCAGGTTTTTCACTGCCGTGGAATGAATGGTCCCTGGCCCTTGGATGATTCGTTTTTCTTCATGTTGATTCCATGGATTTCAGCAAGGATGTCACGGGCACACCTCTGGTACGGGCACGTCGTGCATGTCGCTGATGGCTTTCCGACGTCGAAACTTTGGCCTCGGACAAAATTCACGTCCCGAGTGGTGAATAGCTTTAAACATCTACAGGAAACCCTGTAGAAATTTGCTCCATCAAATCAAGGAAACCCAAATGCCATTGGGAGACCAACGAGCCAAACCACCAGTATTATCAGAGACTTATCAAAGTGCCATCTTCCAAAACTTGTTTGCCGTTGCAAGGGCTACTGGTCGTTGCTCAACATTATATGCCATGATCTATGATTCTGGATGATTAGAACCTGTTGGAATGTAAGTTCCAGGAATTGCTGTTATGAACCCTGCAAGGAACCACACTACTCCAAGAACGTTCAAACCAATTATGTCCTTTGCTGAGGAATAGATACGGCAATTTGGCATTCCTATCAACCAAGCAGAAAAAAAACTATAGGCCAATAACATGTAACTGGGTCATAGCCCCTTTTAGCTGAGAAAACATTGACATATTATGTGTATATATATTATATATATTATATATATTATATATATTATATATATTATATATATTATATATATTATATATATATTATATATATTATATATATATTATATATATATATTATATATATATTATATATTATATATATTATATATATTATATATATTATATATATTATATATATATTATATATATTATATATATATTATATATATATATTATATATATTATATATTATATATATTATATATATTATATATATTATATATATATATTATATATATATATATTATATATTATATATATATATTATATATATTATATATATTATATATATATTATATATTATATATATTATATATATTATATATATTATATATATTATATATATTATATATATAATATATATAATATATATAATATATATAATATATATAATATATATATATCATAGTATATAAACATGGAAGATCGTAAAAGTATACATTCAATGTGACGTACCAATGTGGCTTAGGTAAATGCCAGCCTCATACAAGAGCCATCCTTTCCCGCCTGGGATAGTCGTGGATGATGCAAGCTCTGACCGCCTTCCTGGCCGCCGCAGCATCCCAGGTTTTGGATCATTTCCCTTACAAACATCTACCCTCTGGTAAACATACAAAAAGCTATTGAAAATGGCCATAGAAATAGTGAGTTTTCCCATTAAAAATGGTGATTTTCCATAGTTATGTTAGTTTACCAGAGGGTACTAACCATAATTTTTATCTGTCATTGTGACATCACTTTTTCGTTTGCCCAAATGCTCTGTTTTTTGAGTAACCAGGAGGGGAAACCCAGGTCTTGACGGCCAAAACATCGTTTCGAAACGATTTCCATTTCCAGGGAATGTCAAAGGGTGATGATCCTCCTGTAAACTATTAGTAACAAACATAAATGTGACAAATCCGCAATTTGTAGATCATGTTCCTAGGGAAACCATGATTTTTCCACATCAACCATTGTATGTTTACCAGCTGGGAGGCACCCCATGACTTGACCCAGTAACAAGAGTAACAAGAAGACTAATTCTTAACATTCTGAACATTATCATTATGATCATCACTCATCACTATAATTTATAATGATTACTGTATGATTACTGTATGATGTGGCCGAAGTCAAATGCAGAAGAAACCTAGAATTTAGGGGAATCATTTCGTAAACCGCCTTTCATTGCCCCCACTTGATGTGCAGCACAGCTTCACATTGTGGATCTCCACAGGCATGTAGACAAACTCCCCGAAAAGCATCATATACATAGAAGCCGCTGTAGACCACACATCTGTTCCTCACATTGTTCTGAGATTCTGAATATACATCTGGTCATTTTTTTCCCAATCAACTTTTGGGATGCTCTGGATGCTCAATTCTGAAAGGGAGTGAGGTGTAGTGAAGTTTCGAGGGTGAGGCCCATGAGAGTCTGAATTTAAATTGGCAACACGTATCCAGTAACAATAGTAATATATATCCAGTAATATCCAAAGAAATCAGTCAATAATATCCGATAATGTCCAATAAAATCAGGTAGAATTCAATCATATCAATCATATCAATCATATCCAATAAAAAACATATCCAACAATATCCAAAGATTGCACTGTTTGCAGTGGAGCAACCAAAGCTATGACCGGTTCCCTTTGCCATCTCCGGTGACATGTACGGAGCTGTACCAAACCGGCCACGCAGGAACCCAGGAACCTGCTCGAAACGTAGTGTTGCGCGGAAACGCCAATGAAGCACTGGTGAAAAAGGATGGTTTGTTTGGTAAGGTAGTAGGGACGCAATGGGAAATAATGGGATATCTGTCTATATGATATATGTACGTATGTATATATATATATAGCTATATATATATATATATCGCTGTATATGTATACATATAATATATATATATATACATACATATATATAAATGTATAACACAAAATGTATAACCAACTGGCTAGTAATAATGTGGTAAACACAATAATGATCACCATCCCCAATCAAGATTTGTGAACTTGGGTATACCATGGCATAGGGAAGAATCATCATAACCCAAATGTTTACTGGATGGTTTATTATTGTGTTTATCACATCTAGAATAAACAAATTTCACTGGGAAGTTTGGATGGAAATTTGTCCATTTGACGAAAATTACTGCACCCTTAGCTCGGAGCTCAGCCACACGGATCATTGCGCCAGGCCTTTGGAATGAAAGCGGCCGTCCCAAAGTCGCACAGCTTTACACTGCGCCGATCTACTGAAGATGCAAACCTCGTGGGAAGAATTGCAAATCCAACGTTTCCAACCAAAGATCTCTGGGCAGCAAATCGTTGAATGCTGCAAAGGTTGCAGAAATGCAACATGGTACAAACAAATATGCCAGTCACAAAATGGGAAAAAAAACACACAACTTGCTATATTGTCAAATGGTGCAGACCTTTTATGCAACGCTCCCATTGTTTTTCTGTGGCGTGGGATCGGTTATTATGCTGCTTGCTTGCAAGTAATCAGTGGTCCAAGGAACATCAGAGAGAATCTTCTATGCCCGTGAGAGTGAGAGGAGGTGAAAGCAATGGAGAAAGAAAACTTGTAAAAATTGGACCTCCAACATAGATTGATACGGGGCCAGCTGCATACTGCATTGGAAAAAAATCAGCACTTCATGGGTTTGTTGCATTGGGCCGCCCTCGTTCCATCGCCATTTCAGTTTCGGTCTGAAGTTCGGTTCCATTTGGGTCCAAGAAACAGAAAATTGTCCGGTTTCACATCCCTGTGAACTATCCGTCGTCCATGAAGATAGACCTTGGAACAGCCCCACAACCAAACCAGCTTACAGCAGGACAACATCCAATGGGGGGCCTTTCTAACTCGCTAAAATAGATGTATGATAGCTGCTGTTGTGGTTAAGCGGTGTGTTTCAGCTTACGGGGTTCTCTGAGGCACATCTGCAGTAAAAACAGTAACATTCGATTGATTTTCGATTGATTTTTTTTACCGTTAGGTAATTAACGTACATTGAGTTATGCGTTTAACCGTTTTTACGGTAGAAACGGTAAAAACATAAAGAAATACCAAGTTACCAGCGCACGGTGGTAAAAATCGGAAAAATGTATTTCTTTACTGTCCTTCTTGGCCCTTTATGGCGCAATCGTTTTAGCTGTTGTACAGTACAAGTACAGATAATGCCTCTGTTTCAAAAGAAATGAAATCGTCTCAAAAAAAATGTTTGGACATGAAATAACCCCGCGTGCTATCGTCTATCTTGACATTCGCGTGACGTCTACTGACCTGCAAGCATAGCAGCAACAAGTATAATTACGTGCCACCGCAACGGAACTTCAACTACCATACCATCAAGTGTACCAGAGCACATGAATTTCAAGTAGCGTAGCATGCAGTGTGCCAGCGCACATGCACTTCGAGTACCGTAGCATCAAACCCACCGATTTTTCCAGCATCCGCGGTAGAAACGGTAAAAAACGCAAACAAAAAAAAACAAGAGACCCCAAACATCCCGAAACAGTGTGGGGGAGTGGGTGGATAAAGCATGATAATGTTGATGATGTTGATGTTGATGTTGTTGTTGTTGTTGATGATGATGATGATGATGACGATGACGATGACGATGATGATGATGATGATGACGACGACGACCACGACGATGATTTTGCGGACGATGATGTGATGTTGGGGACGGTGATGATGTTGAGGATGCTGAGGTGCAGGAGGATGATGTTGACGATGATGAGGGTTGAGGATGATGTTGAGGTGGACAAGGATGAAGATGATAATGCGGAAGATGAAGTGGAGGATGATGATGTTGAGGAGGAGGAGGAGGAGGAGGATGTTGAGAAGGATGATGAAAAGGATGATAATGTTGATGTTGTTGCGGAAGATGGTGGAGGTTGATGATGTTGAGGATGCTGAGGTCGAGGGGGAAGAAGATGATGATGTTGAAAATGATGATGTCAATGTTGAGGAGGAGGAAGATGATGATATTGAGGATGATGATGTTGAGGCGGAGGACCGATCCCAAGACCGGGACCCACACTTTGTGCGAGCCTCGAGTCGAAATGCACCTGGACATTTCAGAAGAGACACTATGTGCGAGAATTTACAGATAAAATGCCACAGACCAAGACTGGGACTGACACTTTGTGCGAGCCTGCCCAGTCGAAGTGCACGTGGACATTTCAGAAGAGCCACTATGTGCGAGAATTGACAGGTAAAATACCAGATTAAGACCGCGACGCGGACTTTGTGCGAGCCTGCGCAGTCGAAATGCACTTTGTTGTTTCACAAGAGCCATGTTATGCGAGAATTTACAGGTCAAATGCCGCAGACCAAGACCGCGACGCAGACTTTGTGCGAGCCTGCGCAGTCGAAATGCGCTTGGACATTTTGAACAGCCATTAATGCAGAAATTGACCGCGACGCAGACTTTGTGCCAACTGCACTTGGATATTTCACAAGAGCCACTTTGTGCGAGAATTTACAGGTAAAATGCCGCAAAGCAGCTGGAGGACCCTGATCAAGCACCAGCCTTTACTCTTACCATAAGAATCCCTCAGTGTGGACACACTGTTTGAGGAAAAAAACGTTCCTTTTCTCCCTGCGGGGGGTACAAGCGTATACTCTGTACGCAAAACACACCCGCGAACCTGCTTAGGAATGCTTAGGATAGATGTAATAGGATGGATGGAGAATCCTATAACATGAAAAGCCGGCCCCAGCTCTTAGATAAGCCACCAGTGGCAGAAGCATCCCACGAAATAGCTGGGCCAACTCCTCCTCATCCCAGCACATCACTTCCTTGAAACTGTCGATCAGCGACGGGCCACATCGCCTCGGAGAGCTCTTAGGAGAGCTGAGTAGATGCTGGAAGATGGTCAAAGGTGGAAACCAAGAAATATCAACAGATCACAACAGATCAAAGAATCACCAGGAGATCGAATGTTCATGTGTTCTTCCTTCGACTCTAAGACCTCCAAGTGAAGAAGCTTCCCCAAAGAAGGTACCCAAATCCACTACTCAGAGTTCCTCTCTCCTGAAAATCGGAAAACTCCCTCTGGTTGGTTGTTCCAGCTTGACTCTGACTTAGAATCCTTCAACAACCTGACACCTCAAGTGGTCTTGGGGCTGGTTTTGCTCCTGGACGCATCACGTTTTTGCTGAGTCATGGGGATGAGTCAACATTTTGTGCCACGCGGGCTATAGGGTTTGGTGTTTCTTTTGCAGTGAACCATCCCAAGCTCTTGGTACTGTGGTACACCCAGTCGTAACTCCCATCTTTAGGGACCCCCAAATGGTGAAATGTTGGGCGAATGGGATATGGTTGATTGTTGTATCTGTATGTATCTATCCATTTTTTTGACCCATCCAAAAACTCCTACAGGCCTTATCACGCCCAGTAACTCCATTACAGCGTATGAAAATTGGCCGCCTTCGAATGTCTCCATCAGCTTCACACAGCCTCTACTTTGGTACGACGGAAGGAGAGGAGGTTGGATGGTTGTTAAGGAACTTGGAAGGGGAAGATCTTGATATCTGCAAACAGCAACACCCCGCAATGTCGCCAAATCCACACTAGCTGCCCTTTGGGCAAGACTCCCACGGCATGATACATCGGACAATGCAAGCCCGCAAGTGCCTTGGCAGTGGCTGACTTTTTGCCAGATCTGCATTTCAGAAATATGGTGTGGCTGCACTTTCAGCGGGGCCTGGCGGGACTGAGCTGCAGCTGGAATTCTGCTCAGGCAATGTCGCAGCGGGAAGGAGTGAACCCTTGGCTTCTGCAGAGCATTGACATCTGACTGATCCACTTGTACACTAGCATCCACCAAGAGCATGGACTCTAGACCTAGCTGGCTTTGTCTCACCAGCTAGTGAATTGGATACCTAGATAATTAGATCATTAGCTTGTTCGATATGGAAAATCTATCATTTTGTGGATCATTTCTGAGGATTGCTGCGTGAGTGAATATCAAAAGGCGGCATGCCATGTTCGGTGGCCTCCTTATTTGGGATGATCAACTTCTCCTCTCCATGTCTTATCACCTTCACAGCTTTCGGACGATCCTCACAGGGGAGACTACCCTCTGGTAACCTGGCAATGGGAACTCCATAGTCTGCAGTGTAAATCATCTACAAACGGGGATAGGGTAAACATGTCGGATGTGTCGAGGCAACACTTCGCTCAAACTTCACAACTCGTCTTGGGCAACTTCCATCCAATTTCTTTTCAATTTCTTCCTTTAAGCGTCAAAGCCCAATGGCTCGATCTACAATTCCATCCTGCCAAAGGCCCAAACACATCTAAATTTAAATTGATAGAGCAGAACATTGCAAAAAAAAACAATTATCACCCCCCGGAAAATGGATATATATATATATATAATTGTATATATATATAATATATATGTATATATCATATATATATATCATATATAGTTTAATCCTGAACTTAGCCAATTTAGTCGATCCATTGGTGGTACGCCAATGGATGGCTGTAGCCGCTGCCATCACCATCGGCAATCCTTCTCACACTTTCCTCTCTTCGTCACCTCAAAGACGCAGCCAAAGGAGCCAGCACCGAGATGTTGTCCGACCTGCAGCGATGCCAAGTCGCAGCTGTGAGAACCCCCCCTTTTTTGTGGCATGATTGGTGCTGAACCCAGTTGAAGATCTATATTTTTCTGAATCCTAACTGCGAATTCGAAAGGAACCACCCTTTTCCTTTGCCTCGACTTGGGGTCCAAGCAGAATAGCCAGCACAAGAATGAGTGGCATGAGTTGCCATGCCATCAAGGCACATCAAAAGGACGAATCTGGATTTCCAAGTCGGGTGTGGATTTCCAAGTCAACACTTTTTTCCGGGGATGATCCAATAAGGACAGCTCTGGATATACGACATGGCCCGCCTCATAAACCTCTTCAAAGCTCCCATGTCCAATGCTGCATCCCATGGCTCCGGCGACACATGCGACACGCGCAGCTTCTCCAAAAATTCGTGGATTGGCCCTGGGGAATTGGCACGACTGGGATCCCTGGGGAATTGGCCCTGGGGGATAGGTCGAAAATGGTCGAAATATGCCGAATTCCCAACTTGGCATGTCCATCAAGTACTGTGCTCCATCTTCCTTCAAAATGTTTGATCTGGGATGACGCACTATCGCCACACTGAAGCAAGCTGGCAGGCCGAACATTCGAAGCTGAGTGATGACATCATGCCCATCATGGCATTGCCCAGCTTCAAGAAGGCTCATGCCACCTGTCAATTATCTCATAACCTATCATTACAATATATGGCTAAACAGCAGATATCTGGACTTGCTGTGAACAGCTGTATATAACAGATCCATACCGTCCATGCTTCGAAATGCTGTCTGGTTGGTGGTTGAGCCACCCATCTCAAAGACATTTGGCACATTTTGGCACGTTGAATCCCAAGTCACATGAAGATTATATAAGAACCTTGAAGACATATTCTGTTAAAACATGTTAAAACCAAACAGTTGAGCCAACTGTTCGTTTGCTCACTCTTGCCCCTTCTGGATCTTCGTCACGAATTTCCGTCCTCTGCTTTGAAGTGTAAATTGGAAATCCACTGCCGAGGAATGCCACACTCCTGCGCTGTCGAAAAAATGATTCACTATGGCTTGACCTATGGTCCCAGAATAGGGCACCGCCAAATTTCATGGCTCAAAAACATCATCACTATATATCACTATTTCATGGCCATCCCTGGGTGCTATTTTCCAAGACACCCATTTTTCACCCCTGCCTCCGCTATGATCAAGGCACATCGCTCCAACCTGAGGCGATGGTTATGGATGTTCATCTCCAACGGATCTTGCTCGGTGATTTTTATCGCGGAATCCAATCCACCAAACAAAACCAGCAGTTAATGATTGGCTTGAGTGCTGGTGCAGAAACAAAAAAGATGTAATTATGCAAGTGTGTATATATATAATATAATATATATAATATAATATATATATAATATAATATATAAATATATATTATATATAATTTATAATATGTTGAATAGCCCTGTATAGGCCGCTTAATTAAATGGGTCCTTTCTTCTTATTCTTCCTGCAGCTTTCATGGTTGATTCAAACTTCATCGATTCATCTTCTTCAACCTCTTTTAACCAAAGTGCTGCCTTCTGTGCTTTTGCCAAGACGCATTGGGTTCAAACACCATGGGATATATAAAGCAATTATAGCATACTTGGGAAAGGTAGTTGGTCTTTACAAACCAATTGATGTTGTTTAAAGCTCAACTTTAATGTTTACAGTAGGCGTTTCAGGCTATGAACCCCGAGTTGCACCTTCCCCCCATTGAGTGGATGACAGAACAATCTCAGAGCGGCTTTGAGTGTCCTGAGGCTGAGCAATCCGGATGACATATCACCTGCAAAGAAGACACTTCGCCAACATATCGAACTGGATCGAACGATCCAACATCTCATCAAAATTCTCTAACCTCTCCACGATCTTCACGATCTGCCAGATCGAACCATAACCATATCAAACCATCATTTTGGGTGTGCCAAAACTTTTCACCACTTTTTCCCGGTCCTGCAGGTTCACACTGTGCAGCTTCATGGAGATGTTAATGTCCGACCTTCATGCAGAATTCCTAGCTGGAAAGCTCCATTCTAATCAGAATCTCCCGTGGCCATTAGGGATTTGTCAAAAAATATTGATCATTGACATCTATATATATTTATATATCATTACAGAATCCATTTGCAGAATATGTTCGCTTGAAAAAACCCATGCCCCTTGACAAGGTCAGATTGCCTGAAGCTTACCAAATAAATCCCTATCAATCCTTTGGGCTTTTGGAGACATCTCGAGAATCAGTGCAGCCATCCGAAATGGGTTTCCATTCAACTTCAGGGGATTCACCTTGGTTCAAGGCCGAATGCTGATGTTTTTGGGAAGGTTACAATGTGCAAAAGCGACAAAGCACAACACCAAAGAACCCTAGGCCAATAGCATCCATTCAAATCTCCCATGGTCACCACCCCACTCTGATTCCTGGAAATTAATAAGAACATACATTTTATGACATGTTCACATTTTGACATTTTGCCACAGGCTCCTGTTGTTGCAAGAGACCTGGAGGGAACTCCCGGGAGACCGCTGCGGGCCGGTGCCTCTCAGTTTTGGGGGTTGCTGCCCGCTGCGTGGCATCTTTGTCGATTCCTTGGGCCTCCGCTTCAGCCTCGGAGCTGCAGGGATTTGCTCAGAGATAGGATAGAAACCCAATCACAACAAACAGGTTTCTCCAAAAATGATACCCATGGTCATGGCCATTCAAAAACAATCCTGGAACCCAAATGACCCTGGTTTAGGATGGTTTTGGAGGTTTTGACCCACTAAATGGCGGATGGTTCACCATCCAAAATAGAGGTTGAGGCTGACGCCACTGGCTGATCCAGCAGCCGGAAATCCGGCGGACGGTGCCAGCCATCATCCAGACTCAGCAAGGCGCCAAATGATGCAGTAATGAATACGCGGCTGGGAAGTCCTCTATAAATGGTAAATAATGGTCATTTTTAAGAAGGAAAACCATCCATACGCGGGGAATTTTCAATTGCCATGTTTTGTTGCCATAGGGTAATAAGATGTAATAAATTCACTATGTGGAGTGGTACCCCCTAATAAACCAACCCATGTTTATGAATCCCGGGTTGACATACGAAAAAGATTAGATGCCTCAGCACTATTGGAGAGTCCTGTAGAAATATCATCCAACGACTGGTTGGTTGATGAGAATCCCATGACGGATAACGATTCAATCCTCATATAGTATCTCCCCATATCTCCCTACAATCATCAACCAACTAGGATTCATTCCAGTTTGAGCGTTGACATCACTTGGCTCTAGGCTCTGCTTCCACGAACAGCAAATCTGGTCGCGTCAGCGCGATCAGGGGTTTCACCTGGCCGAATCAGAATGAGGAGACCCCATCTGATCCGAGCAATCGACTTTTAACTCATGGGGTTATTAACCACTATGGTTTTAACCATAGTTTTTTATGGTTATATATATATATTATGAGGAGACCCCAGTTTTTCATTATGTTTCTATGGTTTTCTCAGTTTTCTCGGGGAATGGTAATTTCATCTATTTATTTCATCCACAACTGGGCGGCTCCCAAACATTTTCTGCAGCACTTCTGCACTTCAACCATCGCCCTGCCTCTTGCAGCTCACGTTCAAAGTCCGCACCCAGCTCAATGGCCATCGCCATGCCAGCATTGCCTTCACCCTGTCCGAGAATCGGTCACAATAGCAAATGACTTGAGGAAACTTGGATTGAACCATCTACAATCTACAACTCTCTATATACTATACCATACTATACCTATAAGCAAAATTTGCAAGTGGACGACGCCATTTACATCCGTTTCCGGTTCGTGCCAGGACTGATGACATGAGCATCCAAGCATCTGACATTGATCAATGGCGAGCCACTTGAATTGACATTTAAAATACAAACATGTAAGTAGGTAACCACAAACATGATCACTGTAAGGAATGCTTTGGAACCCCAAATCACTGCAAAAACTCTCCAAATTCTATCACCATATGGTCACCCAATCCCTTTTTGTTGGTTGAATCCCACCTGTAAAACCTCCAGCAGCTGGAAGAGCCGAGCCGCCGCGTGGAGTCGGGGCTCTTCCTGCGGAAAACGCCCTTAACGATCTGATGGGCCGACGCGACAGCAGATAGTTTGTTAGTTCTAAAATATGTAAAATGAATTAAAATGATGGAAATCGATGTTCATTCAATTTCATCCACGTAGTATGTTTCATAGTGTTTGAATCGTTTGGAACCATCCAGATCTGGTCCGCCAAGAATGTCCACAGATCCAGCAACGCTTCTGACATGGAACTGCCCAGCCTGATCTGCTGTGTCGGAACCTCGGTGAACAAGCTGATCGATTTTGATCAGTGCTCTGGATTGTCTATGTACATGGAACCATCAGCATCTTCCAAACAACAAATCCGGAGGAAATCCAAGAGACTTGGCACATCCTGCAGCACCTGCGGCCATGGCCATGTGGTTCTACCTGTGCTGGCGAACATATCTGAGTCTCCAAACTCTTCCGGAGTTGCTTGGCTGTCTTCTTGGCATCTTTCATGCAACGTTCAACGAAAGCCTGGTTTTGGACAAGAATGGAAAAATCGTTTTCCACTGGAACCCAACATGATCTAACTTACTTTTTTGCACAATGGATCAAAATAAATCCAGAGCATTCACAGCAAAATACACAAAGAATCTGGGAGGCAAATCAACAGTTCCACAGGATATCAATTGTGTTTTGTCCAATTTTCCCACCAGTCCAGCAGTCCCACCTCTTTCTCAATCCCGCTGAAGCGTTTCAGGATGTTGGGGCATTCCAAGGCAAGTTCCTGATTTACGGCATTTGTTCACAGGAAACAGTCGGGAAAAAACTGTCGGAAACCATGGTCTTTGATCATCAAAAATAAAGGATCTTTTTTTGCCAGTTCTGGGACTACACAGACCGCCCGTTGAGTTCAACGGCATCTCATTTCCAGTAGTGAGCAGTGTTCAAGGCCCCTGGTCGTTCCATTATACTGGTTGTTTAATATGGACTCCAATTTCATAAATAATGAGAATCCCGTAGTACCGCGCAAGGCGGTGGCGGAAGTTTCAAAGATAGGACATTATAGGAGGGGTGAGTTGTTGTGATGCATGGATGGCAGAGCGAAGCCACTGCTGCTGGACCGAAAGGTGGTTGGAGTTGTGTTTTTTGGAGTGGCTGCAATGGTTGCAGTGGTCGCCTCACCCACAACTGCTGGATGTAGTGTGGCGTAGCGCAGCTGTAGTTGTAGTTGTAGTGTAGTCTGGTGCAGTTGCAGTTGTAGTTGTGGTGTGGTGTAATGAGCGTAGTGCAACGTAATGTAATGTAGTGCAGTATAGTGTGTTACATGCTGTAGTGTAGTGTAGTCTAGTCTAGTCTAGTCTGGTCTGGTCTGGTCTGGTGTGGTGTTGTGTGGTGTAGTGGAGTGTAGTGCAGTGGAGTGGAGCGTAATTTAGTTGTAGTTGTAGTTGTAGTTGTAGTTAGTGTAGCGTAGCGTAGCGTAGCGTAGTGTGGTGTGGTGTGGTGTAGAGTAGTTGTAGTTATAGTTGTAGTTGTAGTCGTAGTCGTAGTCGTAGTTGTAGTTGTAGTTTGTAGTTGTAGTGTAGCGTAGTGTAGCGTAGTGTAGCGTAGTGTAGCGTAGTGTAGCGTAGTGTAGCGTAGTGTAGCGTAGTGTAGCGTAGTGTAGCGTAGTGTAGCGTAGTGTAGCGTAGTGTAGCGTAGTGTAGTGTAGTGTAGGGGCCGTTGTAGTTGAAACTGCCACAAAACCCTCACGTTTTGCTCACTTTTGATGAGGTGCACAATCCCTTGCGCCTGCCACACGAAAGGACACCTGAACACCCAAAAGTGCTCCGTGCCCTTCAGTTTTTTGCACTTTTGGCTTGGAAATGTGCTTCGCGCCACAACGGCGTGCACTTTTTTGATATCTCAACTTCCAAAAGTGGTCCGAGAATGGTGCGCCTTGTACATTTTGACTTGGAAATGTGCTTCGCGCCACAACGGCGTGCACTTTTTCGACATCTCAACTACCTTTTGACTTGCAAACGTGCTTCGCGCCACAACGGCGTGCAACTTTTCATCTCTCATCTGACCACATGGCTCCTCCGCACCGGCCGCTTTAGTGAGCCTACTTTTCGACCCTCCGGAGCCACACATCATTGGAAAAAACACAGAGTTTCGCGACTTTCCTACCTTTTCGCGCACCTGGCATCTTTTTTTCTTCTCACTCTTTCTCTTCTCTGACCTTCTCTCTTCGGCTCTTCTCCTCTCTGACTCTTCCCACCTCTGCTTTTCCATTAAACTTCCTTCGAATATGGTTGATTGTGGAGAACCCCCAATTAATATTGGGTAGTATGATCCTCCACAATCAACCAACAGGGGCTTTTGAACATCGCTGCATTGCTCAAGTTGCAGGCCACTGCGCTCCTCACTGTAGTGCTGCAAACTTGGCTTCGCGTTGTTCAGGATCTCTTCCAATTGCTCAGTGATCCCCTGGCCGACTGGGCATGACTGGGCCATCATGGATCCTGGGGGTTCTGGGATGGGTAAAAAAATTGTAAAAATCCAGCTGTACCCTGGTTGGAAACACCGGTTAGTTGTGGATGTTCAGTGCCCTAAAAATGGTGATAGCTCCGATAGGTATTGATCCATAGTCCGTGGCCACATAAATCGGAGGCGTAAACCTCCCGAAGACCTCAACCGGGCAAATGTTCTCAGGTAAAGCATTCGGTAAGAATTACTTCTAGAGTTATTATGATAGGCAGGCGATGAAGCTGTGAAGCCTCTATTATGATTATCATAATAACTATGATAGTTATTGTATGTTATTGTGATAGTTATGATTCAAGACCTCAGCGAAAAAAAGGCCCTGCGCACCTGCTGAATCAGCTTGGGTGCCGGAGGCCATAGAGCCAACCTGAATGGCGCCAAAATCGAGGGCTCCAAATAGCGCTCCAAAAGTCAGCGTAAGGTGGTTTCAATCATTTCAATCCGGAAACCATCTGACCATCAAAAGTATCTTAGACATTCTTAGACTCCGGCGCAAAGAAGTGAATCTTTACCTACGGCGGACCTTTATGATTCCATTTCTTGGTAATTAGCACTGCGTTAACCTACCCTTCACCAGCTTCAATCATCTTTCCGGCGGCGCTGCCATGGCACCTTCTGCGCCTCTCATCGGTTGCTTCCTCGACGGGTGCCAAGACCTCCAAAAGTGCATGGAATTGGGGCACAAAGCAATATCTATACAATATTATATATATATATATTACAATATTATAATCTATATATATCTATATATCTATACAATATACATATATATATAGATGAGCTATACAATATAATGCAATATAATACAATATAATACAATATAATACAATATAATACAATATATTACAATATAATACAATATAATACAATATTAATACAATATAATACAATATAATACAATATAATACAATATAATACAATATAATACAATATAATACAATATAATACAATATAATACAATATAATACAATATAATACAGTATAATACAGTATAATACAGTATACTACAATATAATACAATATAATACAATATAATACAATATACACGATTAGAATGTAGGAGTCAGGGACGATCCAGACAACATTCAGGATTACACATGGTATCTTGACGTATTTTGCCTATCTGATAGTTCAACCATTCAAAACATGTCCAAACCAGGTTAAAGCCTTACCGAGTGATCTTCCGGTCTGGATCAAAGCAGCTGGCTTTCGTGGATGTTCATCTCTGGTTCATGTGAAACATCATACCTTGAATGCTTTTGACCCGCCCCCATCTTTGTCCAAACATCATGTATCCCCAAATCCCGTGGTTTATCATCATTTTCCCGGTTGGCAATTTTGCAGTATGCCGTATGCTCCATTTCTGGACAAACCCATGTCATTCCCATGTTTGTCTAATGGTGTCATACAATGATCAGCTTAATCCCAATGCATTTTAACCCTATCTTGTTCCCAGTTTCATCCCATTTTGTCTAATGTGGTAGGCCCAATCCCATAAAGCTATATACATCTATATACCATCTGGGGATGGTTGGATCCAACCCATTTATGGTAGAGTTGGGGATGGTTTATGGCATTGGCTTTACCACATTAATTTGTAGAAAAACCTCTGGATAGTTCGATGGTTTTGCCGTAAACCTCCATCGATAGAGGATGTTCCAGCCAGGTTCGATTGCCCAAGGCTACAATTCCAATTCATCATCATTCTTCACAATTCTCAGCCACTGAGCAATCTATGAACCAATCTATTTCACATTAAAAAACCCTCTGGTAATTTAACATAGCTATGGAAAATCACCATTTTTCAGTTTGTCAAATCAACAAACTACATGGCCATGCCAGCCGTGTTCAATAACTGTTAGTCACCAGAGGGTAACCACTATTCTTCACCAACTCACCCCAGGCCCCAACGTCTCAACATGTCTCAACCGCCTGCTCCGCAGAGAACTCCACCTTTCGCAGCTCCCGTAGCGCCGCCCGGAGGAAATCCTCCACCGCCGGGTGTTCGCTGCCTGGGAGTCATCGACACAACGATGTGGGGATTTTTGAACTGATGTTTTTTTCCTATCAATATATATATATATATATATGGGAATATGGTGTATATGTGTATATGTTCAAATTGAAGTAACATATACACCATATACGTAGTTATGTCCTATCAATTTCTTATCAAGATCTAATAATCAAACCATTTTCAAGCACTAATTCTATTTCACTTCAATCCAATTTTGGGGGTACTCATTGAGACATAGGATAGGTCATACTTCCGATTTCCCATACGGCCCATGACCAGGCGCCGGATGGTCATCATTTTAACAATCAGAAACGTCCTTAAAACCTCGAAGAGAACTGGAGTAGCTAGATGTTTGTTCTTTCCCTAGAAGTGATTGAAGGATATTGAAGGATATTGAAGGCAAATTGTTCAGAAATCCCCCATATTGGAGTGGTGAAGTATGATAAACCTGTGGCTTGTCTGTCGATTATCCTCTTCAGTGTTCTGTGGCCGTGGCCAAGTTCCAAAGCAAACCAGCGCGCAGCACGGATGAGCCTCAAGATACCGCTAATTCCACTGGTTCATCATCATTTGCTCCATGAAAATATTGGGGGGAGTAACTTTATTTTGAGACACATTCATATGAAAGCTAAACTACAAATCGATGGTTGTGTCATGTTATGTCCACAAATGTTCGACGTCCCTGTCATTCAGAATCACTCAATTCGTTGCTAGCTATCCATGGTCTGTCACATCTGAAAAGGCTAGTCACACTAGAATCAAACCTAGAAGCTCAAGACCCAAGTCTGGTGCGCTAAGTCTCTAGCAAGGCAGGCTGCCCTTTGGGCGGCCATCCATAGTTCGATTGCACCTATGAACCAGCCAAATCTTCGAAATGGTGCCTGATTTGGCGATTCAAACCAATGCTTATTCATCTACCATGCCAACAGTTGGAACCCTGGTAAAAGGCCTACATTGCCAGAATTATTGAGGCAATGCACCCACTTTAATCTTGTTTCTTGGTACCGGATTGTTGATCCAAAAACACTCAGGGGAAACCAAGAGCTGCAGGAGTATTTCAGACCCCTGCAGCCCCGAGGATTGCAGATCTTGGGAGTTTTGTCCATTGATCATTGTCATCCAAATTCGGGAAGTTTGGGGTATCCAACTTCGGCGTGTACGGCGTGTACCGTCCGATGAACATTCAGATTCATGACTTCATGACACATGAAACATATCAATATCCCTCCAAACTACCGCAGGCTGCGCAGGCTTGCACCTCGAGCTCAACTCGTGCCTGTGCAATAGCTGGCTGTCCAAGTGACGACATGGGCTGTCATGACTTTAGTTCCTATCCAAAAAGTATGGTGAATATAGCCAAACGTACCCAAACCCGATGGTGTTCCCCTATAATCTAGCAATGGAGATGGTGGATTTTGAGGTGTCCAGCATGAAAACCTAGGGGGGAAACGATTGGGAGAACTATAAGACTATAGTATATAATAGTATATACATATATATTACATGAACCATTATGGAGAATGGTTTCCTATGGTTTCTAGATTCTCAGCTTAGAATCACGCTGGGCGCCAAGGCGGGCCTTGTGGGACTGCTTGGCTTTCAACACTCGTGCACGCAACGGCGTGTGACCTCGAAAGATCGATGGGTGGCTGATACCAGCCATAAAAATGCTTCAATGGCTTGGTTTTCTTGGGAAAATCTTAACCGGAAACCATCGATTTTCCCACTTTTGTATGGGGTTTTCCTGTAAAATTTCCCAAGAAAACCAATCCATTGAATGGTGTGGCACTGGGGATGGTGCATCCTATTGCCTGACTAACATGAATTGTTTGGTGGATTTAGCCATGGCTTCCGCACAACTGTGAAACTCCAGCTCCACTTCCTCAAAATTCACCAAGATGCCAGAAATGGATGATTTCCGATGGGATTTCCCGCAAGATTTTCAGACACCCTGGCAGCTCCTGAGATAAACTTTCAATGGATCTCCTGGTAGTGGTGAATTCTAGACCTCAGTTGAGGACTGGCTGTTGACTTCTTTTGGGATGTGGGCATTTGAACACATCGTGATGGTCAGGCACGCACAAAGGATGTTCAAACTTGTTTGCAAGTTTGCAACATCTGTGAATGTTTCAAACACTGAGGTCCCGTCGGGCTGTCAGGTCGCCTGGTTGAAGTGCCACAGTTGAAGTGCCACACTTGGTATCTTCACTTCCGGAGTACGCACTGATTTAGAGAAAAAAACACTGTCAACCAATACGTTCAGTCAAAATCTATGGCAAATCCATGAGATAAGTGAAAGAATCCCAAGACTCCCTAGTTCTGGGCCAAGACTCCCAAGACCTCACCCAGGCTTCTTCCCAGGTTTCCCAGGCTTCCCAGGCTCCCAGCACCCACCACTGCACCTTCTATGACCTTTTTAAGTTGCTCCACTCTGTCCTTGGGCCAAAGGGGGACACCAGTGATGCAACGGATGACGTCTGTTGCCCCGGACCTCGCACGAGGAGAAGAGCGTGTGGTTCGGGATCAGCGACTTTTCCTCAGTGATTCGCTGATCAAATCCCACAAGATTCAACCACCCCACCCAGAAACCATGGTTTAGCAGGGGATTTTCAATGATTTTCACATATATTAGGGACAATTTAGGGGAAAATTATGGAAAACAGTTTACAGTATGGGGATTGGATCAAGGATAACTTGCAGCGGCCGAATGTCTCAGTTGCGCACTGGAGCGCCCCAAGCAGCGCGGCCCTTCTCAATGATGGAACGGGCCTCCCGCAGCAAATGTTCATCATCCATCGTGATATATGAAACAGTCACACCATTCCCAATATCACAAGAAATGGGTATGAATAGTATGAAGCCTGAGTTTATTAATGGATTTACCATATTAATTATCCAGCTCTCCCCCAAACCACCCTGAGCCTCCGATGGTCGCTGTGCATCTTGAAGCTGCGCGAGAACCGCTTCATCCATGTCTTCCGCCACCTTCCACTAAACACGGCTGTAAAGCTTCCAGCGTCCACTCGAGTCTGTTCAGATACTGCTACGGATCCAAACCAAACATTATCCTGCAGTTCACATGAACAAAGCAAACCGATGGTTGACGTGAACGTAAATAGATGTTCATCCCCCCATTCATGCTGTATTGTAGATAGGGACACATTAAAATCATTAAAATGTCTCGACACGTTGGTGAACCTGAGCTCAGTTGGTTACCAAGTCAGACTTACACAGTTCAACCACTCAGCCATTGCATCTTGGCATATCTTGGCTCAGTCCACACAGGCTCCCTCTCCTTCAGGACATGTGAGCTGTGCCTCCTGAAAACGCTCCCTCAACAGGGCGAAGATGGCATCATCTGCAGGGAGTTTGTCAATGTACCTGGAGAACACCAACCGACCTGCATCGCTCCAGTAGACAGGATGTAGACTTTCACACCACTTAATTTCCTCTGCAGCTACCAGTAGCATCAGAAATACCAGAAGAACTCAGCGCAGAAACCACATGAAATCACGATCTGAGGGCATGGCTCATTGTAGCAGGCAACTATCGGACCCAACCTGCCAGTTGCGTGCAACATGGCATACAATCAGAACCAATCCGAACCAATTGCATGGCCATGACCGGTTCCCAACCCCTTGGGCCCCTGCGTGAGACCATTGTTGCGGCCGCAAATCACTGCAACTGCTGCCATGGCCTCTCCGGCTAGTTTTCGTCTGTAAGAAAAAGTATGAGTTTTGAATATTGGTAAAAAAAATCGGGCCAGAACATGTTCGAAGAATCAAGGACTTTTCGAAGCAAATCAAAAATCAAGGGGGGGTCTATGATTGGACAAAGATTCTAAATCAGCCAAATCCATCCAAATCCCAACTCTTGATGGTTTAGATCCCGTTAGATCCCCAACTCCTCCGCCGTGACGTCCACCGTCTCGGGGCGACAGAGCCGTTGCTTCCAGGTCAAGGCCACGCGCAGCGCGGGGGAGGGCACCGTCGACTCGATGCCCAGCAGCCTAGATGGAGCAATGGATCGGATGGATCTGAACCAAGATTTGGAAATGAAGAGTTACAGTACCTATTTTTGGAGAATTGGAGATGGAAATGTCTGGGAAACTGGGAACCTGGTATCTTTTTACATCTTTTTACTGTCTTTTTTGGGAAAAAAACGGAAAAGTGTTATAAGTACTTCAATATTACAAGTGGGTTGAAGCTAATCAGCATTGGATTGAAGTAAATTCCCTGTAAGCATCCCCAAGGAGAATGGCTCAAGAATATCAACCTGTTTGCTGGTTCACATCCCCTTGTTGATCGTTCCAATGTTCATCCCCGTTTGTAACCAATAAATTTCGGCAACATTACTTCTCAATACTTATCATTTATAATTATAAACTATATTTCTCAATATAAATTGGAGATATCAAACAATCTCCTTGCCAGCATGGGTAAATCCAGTATCCCGAAGAAGCGGGGACCAATGCCCCCAACCACAAGGCCCCCTTGAAACTGCCTGGCTGGGGTGGCAAGCTGCCATCGCCGGAAAGCGGTCTGAAAATTCACGCTTGGATGCAGCAAATGACCAAAATCTGTGGCCCAGCTGGTCTAGAATTGTGACTGCTCTTCTCTTCTTGCGTGCCATAGGTATGGTTTGTGAAAAACGGATGTGAAACTAACTTAGAAAGGCAGGTGCCATACCCGTAGGCTCCCCGCAGCATCGGACTGCAACGCACCAAAAAAAGATCAAAAAAGATTGGTCGTGGCACTACAACTTTGTGATCACCTTGGCGATGACTCAGTTTCCAAACGGCCGAATCCCGCTGCCCATGAGGCCTGTATAAACAGCGCTGCTCGAAAGACCGCCTGCGGATCCAATTGTTTCGGAGCCGCCTGGCTTCAAACGCCAGCCACAACGAAAAGGCCAAGACCCAAACCTCCAGCCACGCCTCCAAGATACTTCTGGATCCATCAGCCATCAGCGGCACAGGGATGTGGATATCTTCCTCTTCCAACAATGTTGACATGCAAATTTGCTGTCGTGTGGTGGTGGCTTCTGCTGGATTTCTTTGCTGTCCAAACTTTTCGCCCCTTTTGTGGTCCAGTGTGTGGCCGACATTGATCTATGAAGAATGCCAAGAAAACAAAACAATTCTGCTACTAGAATACCGGTTGTGCTGCGTGTAAAGTTCTGCAAAAACTATTTCTCAATCGAGCAAGATCGACAGCTTGCTTGCAGAACCCGAAGCATCTCAAATTTCTGGTCAACTTGAAGCTGATTGAGTTTGGCCTCTGGCTGGGGCCAAACACAAAGGACACGGGCAAACAAAGCCAAGTGTTTCAATTTAGCTGGTGTGGGTTTGCAATGCACAAGAACTTGGTGTTGTGTCAACAACAACACTGAAAACTTGTAGCAAGAAGCTGAAATGCCAATGCCGTGCTCCTATTTCCAGAGCTGCAAATGAATCGAAACCTTTCTAACTAAGTATACTATAGTATACTCCCTTCCCTCCATGAACACGGATTAAACTTATTAAACTTCAACAAACAGCCCCTGAACCCGGCTGCGAGGTGCAATTGGCACCTCCCGAAGCGGCTTTGGCCTGGCCTCGGCAGAACTCACATGGAAGGAACCAAGAAGAAATGCTGTGGAAAAATCATCTTCCAGACATGACTTGTAGCGTTCCTTTCAGCAGAGACTGGAGGGCTCATGATATTCTGGTGGACATTCTGAAGATTGGTTGCCCCAAGGATTTCCTTGGGTTGATTTGAGGTCAGCACCTTCTCACACTGCGTGAGCAGAAGCAATCCCAAGGGACCTGTGTAAATGTCCTGTCAAAGGGTGAAGCCAGGTCCAGAAACATTGCACAAGACCCTCATGCACATGCAAAACCAGAGAGTCAGCCCAAGCTTCCGGGGAAGAAAGAGTCATGGGCATTTCCCAGTTTGAAGGGTTTGAAGACCACGTTTTGGTGGTTAAAAGGTGGTTGACCCTCCCAAACATAGGTGAATATAAGAACCCTTCAAACAGAACTAGATCGATCTCCAAGATCCTGCAGCTCGCTCTCCAAGATGCTACGGGAGGCCAAGACCTGAATCAACGAACAAAAATTAGTGCCCAAAACTTAGGACCCCCTCAGCCCCTCGGACCCACAAAGATTGACCATCCACTGACTTAAAAGTCTAAATTGTTTGCCAAGGTAAACTCGATTGACATCCATTTATTGACCGGGCCATCAATTGAAACCCACCACCGAGAACAGCACGGCCAACAACAATTCATCTGATGCGTCCAAGGGTTTCACCAGGCCGGACACCTGCGCTGGGGGACCATCAGTATCGGACTAGAAAGCAAAAAAACGACAGTAATTTGGGAGGCTCTTTTTATGGTTGGAAAATCAAAAAAGCCTGGCTCAGCGGCTTCGGAATCGAGGACCCTTCATCTGGTGGGCCACTCCAAGCCTCTGGGCCCGTACCAGGTGTCTGCATGGTGCGCAAGGTCAAATGTCGAACCTCGATGGGGAAAAGTCAGGGCCCCATCCCGCATGGAAATAGCAATGACAGCCATGAGACGTTGCAAGCTGAAGGGGCACGAGCTGAAAAGTTGGAAGTCTAATTTTGATTTATGCTATCAGGGGATCTAGACCAATTTCAAACAGGATCATGACTCATGACTCCAATTCAAATCAAGTAATGTTCAAACGGGTAACCCTAATGAGGGAGAAAAAAATATAATATTATATAGTATGGTGCTGCCACCCAACGGATTAAGTGAATGGGGATGTTACTCAGTTCGCGACAGATGTCATCATGTTCTGAGATGGTGCTGGATAAATGCCTCACTGGTGAGAGGATCACGAACGTGCGGACATAGAAAGTAACCTTGCCTCTAGGTGTCGTGAGCTCTAATCCAATTTGTCAGTTCGTGTGAGTGTGTGGGTGAGCTTTGGATCTCAACGTTGGGGCAGTGTGCCACAACCCCAGAGCGACGCCGCTCTGAGTGTGTGAACCTTTTCCTCCGGCCTACCCATTTGAAAACATCTAGGCGTCAATTCATTTACGTTTGTTCCAAAATTTTGACCTTTGAAATCCATTGAAATCCCCAATTGAGTTTGACTGAGTAGTCTTGTAGTATATTGTACTTCAGAAAGCACCTTGAGTCCGGAGTATCCGTATCCCCTATTGACTCAGAAGCACCACGTTCACAAGGATGGGCGCCCCAGGCTAGTTGGCTCCACTCGATGACCCTCGCCATTGAAAGTAATGCCTGCCAGGTGAAATGGATCGAAGGTGTCGGGTGCCGCGTCAAAATCTCGTCCCACTCGCTGCCTTCAACGTCCGCCTCTGTGACTTTGACAAAGAGGTGGTTGAGGTATTTGTAGATCACCTCACAACATCACCGAACCCATCTTCCTAGACTTGTCCGTTAGGGTAGTCCCCATCAAACCAATAGCATACCCACCTGTCAACCATCAACTAATAGAGGTTTTGGATGGTTTTGGTCATTGAGGATGGCATCTTTGTTGGCTCAGCCGCATCCGACCCTTGGTTCCCGAATCTTTTGCTGCTGCTGCGTAAATGGGTTCCTTCTGACTTCTGACCTCCATAAAGATCACCTGTTTGCAGCTTCATTATTTAACCCCAACACTAGAAAACACATTCAGGCTACGTTACACAATATGTTCACCATCTTTGCCACATAGTTGAGTTTGATCCCAATCGTTGATTTGAGTGTGTCTGAGTTTAGCGGGTAACTCCAATTTATTTCTTATTAGGAAACGTGATGTTCCAAAGGCTTTTCCCATGGTTGTCCCCTATACTTTCAGGTACCAATACGACCCCCATTTCTCTGTACCAAAAGCCCAGTGACCTCCATGTGCGACTGTGGAATCTTTACCTCATAGGTGGCTCCCCAGCCACTGGGAGCTGCCTCAGTCACACAAAAACTATGGCTTGCAGAGGGTGGCTGTAGCATTCCACAGAAGCTTTCAGGGATGTTGAGCCATGCGCTGGACGCCCTTTCTCATCAACTTCCAAACCTTAGAAGCGCAGCCAAAAAAAAGAAAGCCTGGTTTCAAGGTTTCAGGCGAGATTGACAACTGGAAGCATGCCCACGTATTTCCAGTTTCAATGCCAGCAACTTCTGATTTCCAGTTTCCCCAGGATCTTGGTAGCAGGCTCAAAGTCTCACTCACGCCCACACACAGCTGCACCAGAGTCCTGCCACGCCGTGGAAAACACGGTGTATTGAAGAAACTCGGCCGTGACCAACGCCACCAATCATGCCAGCAGGACATGTAGGCCGAGTAAGCATGGAACCTGAATGGGAACTCAGACAAATTGAGACCATGGCCCTCGGGTGTGCATGGTGTGATGAGCTGAGGCCCATGCTGCACATAAGGACTCATGTCACTGTCCACCAACCTTGGCATGCAAGACTTAATGAAAGGCCACTGCAAGTGTGCTCGAACGTTTTGACAATGCACCAGCCAAAGTGGCTTTAAAACATCTATATATCGCAAATCCATGCAAATCCAATTCTCAGACGTCCCTCTCTGAGAATTTTCTTATGATCATCATCCAATATGTGGATAGAAAAAAAAACATCAACATGATGAATTTCCAACAGGTTGCTGCAACAAAAGTTCAAGATGGTCCCCGTGGGTTCCGGGCTCACAGCAGCAGCTGCGGACCTCTGACATCATACGCGGAAGCTCCGCACGCAAGGCATCCCTTGGAGAGACCAAGGACACCAAGTGGATGGATGTCTGAGAAAATGGGTCTTGCTGATTTTTCTTGGTGTAACCTATACAGTATACAATACAAAGCCATGTCAGGCTGTCAACTGTCTGTCGCTGTCTTCTATCAAAATCTTCACTTCACGAGGAGTAGAGGCGTATCGCGGAAAATCCCCAGTGGATATGGCCGGCCAGACGCCACCATCCTTGAGAATCCCACAGTTCACTGAAGCCCTGTAGCAACTCTGAGACCTGCATTGGTGCAAGAATTCCCAAGGAACTGCTGGTGTGAAATGTGGCTCAATACGTGGGACTGTCGATTTGGATTGGCATTTTTCACCACACACATTGGTGTTTTACATAGGCCAACGAGGGATGTCTTTTTGGGCGTGAAAACGATAGTGCTAGGGTTCTGACTCACCAGCTTTTGAATCTCACTTGGTTGCAGCTCAAGTGCTATTTATCATCAAACCTCATTTCAAAGTCTCATTTCGTCTCATTCCAATGTACAACCTCCCAAACATCTCATTTCGGTTCACGTATATGTCTCTGAAACTGGTGTGCACCCCCCAGCCATGGCAATTTTACTAGGTACCATCCCCACCTGGCTCTCAGCAGCTCGCAGGCCCTCTTCGGAGGTGCTCTGAGATTGCACCCAATAGCTGGTGCGGACCTGACTTCCAGCTCTGGCCATTGGAAGGTTTATGTCCTCTGAAAAGTGGCTATATACCCCATTTTTTATGGCATTCGAAGAATGTTAAAAAGGGAAAATGATTGTATATACAAAGTATATATGTATACAATATTTATAAATAATAGAGAGATACCATCAAATGCTAGTTTGGTTTCCCATTGTTTCCCCCGAAAAAATACAGGTACCAAAGCCATTTTAGGACAAGGCCTGCAGGTCGCCCAGCCCGAGCATCCCTGCATGCCACATCACCGAAAGTACCACCGCCTCTAACAGCTGCAGAGTCAGCCCTCGGCACGTCTTCAAGGCTTGGGGATGAAAATTCTGGTGGATTTCTTCAGAAAACATATGGAAATCTGATGACAATATTGATATCTAAGTGAAAAAAACGGGAAAATATGATGGATATCTGATATCTTAGATATCTTAGATAGCAATGATTGATATCTTAGATATCTAGTATCAAACTGAACAATAACATTGATTTTCGTCAAGAGTATAAGAAAGTGAAACGTTCTAGACACTGAGCTCTCCAGCTGACATCGGGTGCTTGTGGAGTCTCCTGCAAAACACGCAGCTGACGGATGGCACCAGTCGGTCAAAACGGTAGCACGTCCCCTGCCTGACGTCGTCGTTTTCGAGGCTGGCCATCTTCATCTGAGCCGATGTGTGATGTTATTCGCCCTAAACCTTTTTATGTCAATATATCATATATCCATTCCCTCCCTTGGTGCAAGATATGTATATGACTATGTATGTATGTACGTACGTACGTACGTACGTATGTATGTATGTATGTATGTGTATATATATATTACTATATAATTATATATTATGCATATATGTATGACATACATATACATATAACATTGACAACATATATATCTTATGGTCCCTCCACATGTGGCTCTTCAATCCAAGAGAAGGATTTCCACCGTCATTCAGCACTTTGGGACTCCAGAACTTGAAGCCTCTACGAGGCGTCGCCGGCGTGCGCGGTGTTGCGGGCGTGCGCGGCGTCGCGGAGGCTGGGGTGGTTTGCTCGTCCTTCACCTCCTGTGGCAACGGCCGGGCTGGGAAATCCCCATTCCATGGGAAGGTGTGGGTCAAGAGATGGATATCCATGAGCCCACCAGTGGTCAGTTGTTAGTTTGTTTAACCATCCATTTCTGAGGGTAATGTTGGGCCATTCCTACGTTGGAAAATCAACAGGAACATGGTGATTATTTGGATGGAAAAAAAATGTTTGGAGGTAGGTCAGCCACGTAACCATCAATACCAGTTCCTTAGTGTTCCTTAGAGTCCTGAGTCAGAGAGATTATGTTGGAGATTAGAGACTGTAATTTTGAGATTTTCGTACTTTTCTCAAAGCCTAGGTCCTAGGCGTCTTTGGGGTCACACAGTGGTGCTGTCGTTTTCTGCTGAAAACCGGAAACCCCAAGTGATCTCAATCCCTCAACTAAGTTGCCTTTGGAACTCAGCCATCAGCTGCCCATCATTGTCTTTTCAGCTGGCTATTCTTGGGATCTCCAACTTGCCTCAAGATCACACTCCCCAGAAGCCTCCGCAGATGCACGCTTCCTCTTCTCCTGAAAGTGTCCAGTTCACTATCATCCCATGTAGTTTGGACTCGTCAACCCCCTAATCCCCAAATATGGGGATGGCAAATTTGATCATTAGATCAAATCATCCAATATGAATCTTCCATCTACCCCCAAATCTCCGAAATCTGTGATTTTCCCTGAAACAAGCAAAGGGGGTCGCCCAAGACCAAGCCTTCAAGACAACGTGCCCCACCGGAAAAAAAAAATATCCCGGCAAGAGGCCCCGAACAGTGCGGGGGAGTGGGTAGATAATGTATGATAATGTGGATGATAATGATGATGATGATGATGATGACGATGATGATGATGATGATGACGATGCTGATGATGATGATGATGATGGTCATGATGATCATGATGATCATGATGATCATGATGATCATGATGACTGTGATGCTGATGATGATGATGATGACGAAGATGATGGTGAGGATGATGATGATGATGATGATGGTGATGATGAAGATCATGGTGATGATGATGATGATGATGGTGATGACGATGATGAGGATGGTAATGGGGTAGATGAAGTGGAGGATGAACGGTGGAGGAGGATAATGTAGAGAAGGAGGAAGATAATGATGTTGAGAAGGAGGAAGATAATGATGTTGAGAAGGGGAAATGATGATGATGATGGTGATGATGATGGTGATGATGATGAAGATGATGGTGAGGATGATGACGATGATGATGATGATGGTAACGCTAATGGTGATGATGATGATTATTATTATGATGATGATGATGACGAATATGATGGTGGGGATGATGTTGATGATGGTGATGATGATGATGATGATGATGCTGCTGATGGTGATGATGATGATGATGGTGATGATGATGATGATGATGATGAAGATGATGGCGATGAAGAAGATGATGGTGCAGATGATGATGATGAGGAGGAGGAGGAGGATAATGCGGAAGATGAAGTGGAGGATGAAAAGGTGGATGATGATGATGATGATGACGATGATGATGATGATGTAGGCAAGGAGGAAGATGATGATGTTGAGGAGGACCATGTTGAGGAGGATGATGACAAGGATGAGAATGTTGCGGAAGGTGAGGTGGATGATCTTGATGTTGCGGAAGATGAGTTGGAGGATGATATGAGCATGATGATGTCAAGGGAGAGGAAGATGATGATGTTGATGTTGAGGAGGAGGAAGATGATGTTGAGGAGGATGATGTTGAGGAGGAAGACCGATCCCAAGACCGGGAAGCACACTTTGTGCGAGCCTGCGCAGTCGAAACGCACATCAACATGTCACAAGCACCGCTTTATACGGGATTTACAGGAAAAATGCCGTTCCCCAGAACCGCGACCCACACTTTGTGCGAGCCTGCGCAGCCGAAACGCATGTCAAGATTTCACAAGAGCCTTTTTATATGGAAATTTTCCGGTAAAATGCGGCAGACCAAAACCGCGCCGCAGACTTTGTGCGGGCCTGCGCAGTCGAAACGCATGTCAAGATTTTACAAGAGCCACTTTATACGGAAATTTACAAGTAAAATGCCGCCGACCAAAATCAGCCCAGAACGCGGACGAAGACTTTGTGCCAGCCTGCGCGGTCGAAACGCATGTCAAGATTTCACAAGAGCCACTTCATACGGAAATTTACGGGGAAAATGCCGCAGGCCAGAGTGAGCACCCCGATCAAGCACCGACCTTTACTCCTACCGTAAGAACCCCTCAGTGTGGACACTGTTTGGGGAAAAAACATATTGTGCTGGGATGGCCATCTCTCCATCGCTGAAGTTCCTTGTTTTGCACAAAAAGGAAGCTGTATCTGGGACTGGGGTACCCCATGAATATGGATTTGGATGAGGACATGATTCTAGCTTTGATCATAGGACCTTCTATGTGGCTGTGTCAAAACGCTTGGCTCCAAAACTGGATGATATTGAAAGATCAGAACGGGTTCATACCAGTCATATTACATAGATTTAGAATACCAGTAGTACCGCGCAAGGCGGTGGCGGAAGTTTCAAAGATAGGAGACCTATAGGAAAGGCTGGTTGTTATGAATCACGGATGGCAGGGCAAATCCACAGATGGACCAAAAGGTGGTTGGAGTTATGGTTTTTGGAGTGGTTGCAATGGATGCAGTGGTCACCTCACCACAACTGCTGGATGTAGCGTGGTGTAGTGCAGTTGTAGTTGTAGTGTAGCGGACTTGTATTTGTAATGTAGTGTAATTAGTGTAATTGCAGTTGCAGTTGCAGTTGTGGTAGTAGTGGCAGTGGCAGTGGTAGTGGTAGTGGTAGTGGTAGAGGTGGAGGTGGAGGTGGTGGTGGTGGTGGTGGTGGTGGTTGTTGTTGTTGTTGTTGTCGTCGTCGTTGTCGTTGTCGTCGTTGTCGTCGGTGTAGTGTAGTTAGTGTAATTAGTGTAATTAGTGTAATTAGTTTAATTCGTGTAATTAGTGCAATTAGTGCAATTAGTGCAATTAGTATAATTAGTGTAGTGTACTAGTGTAATTAGTGTAATTAGTGTAATTAGTGTAATTAGTGTAATTAGTGTAATTAGTGCAGTGTATTCTTGTAATTAGATGTAATTAGCGCAGTGTAGTGTAATTAGTGTAGTGTAATGTAGCGTGGTATATTTGTATTTGTAGTAGTAGTAGTAGTAGTAGTAGTAGCAGTAGTAGTAGTAGTAGTAGTGTGGTGTAGTGTATAGTGGCAGTGGTAGTCGTAGTTGTACTCGTAGTTGTCTATCTATCTATCTATCCATCCATCCATCCATCCATCCATCCATCCATCCATCCATCCATCCATCCATCCATCTGCAAGCTTGAAAACGAAGCTATTCTGCGAGACTTCCTCAGTTTTTGAACTTGACAACATCAAAAACGCAGCAATTCTGCGAGACTTCCTCAACTTTTGAACTTGACAACGCCAAAAACGAAACAATTCCGCGAGACTTCCTCATGTGTCTATTGTACTGTGCCTGCCACACGAAATGTATCTTTCCAGATCCTCTTCAAATGTCTCACACCTGCCATCGTTTTTGAAACTGATACAAAACCCTCACGTTTTGTTCATTTTGAACACGGTGCACAATCCTCTGCGCCTGCCACACAAACTAACATCTGAACGTCCAAAAGTGCTCCGTGCCCCTCAATTTTCTCGCACTTTTGACTTCGAAATGTGCTTCGCGCCACAACGGCGTGCACTTTTTCGACATGTCAACTTCCAAAAGTGGTCCGAGCATGGTGTGCTTTGTGCATTTTGACTTCGAAATGTGCTTCGCGACATCTGGTCCGAGCATGGTGTGCTTTGTGCATTTTGACTTTGAAATGTGCTTCGCGCCACAACCGCGTGCACTTTTTCGACATCTCAACTTCCAAAAGTGCTCCGAATGCGACGTGCTTTTAACTTTTCACTTGCAAATGTGCTTCGCGCCACAACGGCGTGCAACTTTTCATCTCTCATCTGGCCAGATGGCTCCGCACCCGCCGCTTTAGCGAGCCTACTTTTCGACCCTCCGGAGCCACAAATCATTGGAAAAACACAGTGTTTCGCGACTTTCCTACCTTTTCGCACACCTGGATCTTCTTTCTTCTGACTACTTCTCTTCCCTGATCTTCTCTCTTCTTCTCTTCTTCTCTTCTCTTCTCTTCTCTGACTCTTCCCACCTCTGCTTTTCATCTGTCCATATTGTCGGAAGTTTGCCTTCTAAATTTCCTTCGATGATATCTTACAGTGCAAATGACCACCCTCTGTGGTGCCTTTACGGATTCCCATCTTCCAGCCGCCAGACCCATCCGATCCACCCCCCACCTTCATGAAGTTCACGCGATCCCGTAGCAGGCGTAACATCCGTTGGATCAGTGACATCGAGCCAAAGGACGTGTCCTTAGAGAAGCCATGACTGGCGGGGGGATCCCTGTTTCACCGCAGATGAAGTGGATGGAATGATGAACCAGAACGCTACTTTTGATGACAATGATCTGGGCTGATCTGGGATCATTGAATTTGAAGCCGAAAAATTGAATGGTTCTTTTGCTTACACTTCGCCAGGGATGATCCTTCTCGTGCTCCATAGGTACCCCAAACAGAAAAGGGAGTTCAACAATAAGACCTTCAAAAGAGATTTTATAGATAATATAGTGCAAATCCATTTCATTTACCCTCTGGTAAACAAACATAGCTACTGAACATGTCCATTTATAGTTGATTTACCCATTAAACATGTTGATTGTCCATAGTTATGTTACTTTACCAGAGGGTAATTTCATTTCATGTCCATCTATACCAATACCAATATCTATACAATACCAAAATCTATATCTATATCTATATTATATATATATATATTATCTCATTTCCATTCACCCCTGGCCCTTGGATCCACATTTCCAAGCTTCGATGCCGCGGTTGGCCAGCACCAGAAAGCGGCTCATCACAGGGCGCAACTCCTCTTCAGGGATCAGTGAAATGGATCCCCCAAAGCCTCATTTGATGGAAATGTCATGAAATGAATCCACTGAAGCCATGATTGGGGAGAAAGTCATTCTGTATGGATATACCAAAAGAATATCAGGCATGTGGTTTGGTGTGTAAAGTCAGGCCACCAATATCCCAAGGCCAACACAGTCTGTCCTCCATGCGATCCTTCACTTTTGGATCTTCCAGGATTTTGCTGCAGGCAAGGTGCACCTGCCGCATCAAGAAAGAGATGCTAATCATGAATTTTAAAGCAGCTTCGCTACACTTTGCCTACAGGCGGTGAGATTTTCCTTAAAACATGTTTATGCTGCAAAAATTGGATTTTCTGGTGAGATTGCCAGAAGGGAAGCTTATTGAAAAATGAGCCTGCGAGAGGCTAGTAATTTCTTGTCTGCAAAAGAGCTATTTGGGCCATTTGCCTACCTATGCGCGATAAATCCATCCGCTGTTGTGACTTAGCAGCAGTCTTATGATAGCGGGGAACTCGTCCGCAGCCTTACGTACTGCTGTCCAAAATACCTCTAGTTCGAAACACGAGAAAAGAGATGGAAAGCAACAAAACGACACAAACTCCGATGCCGTAAAAAGGCACTGCATCTGTAGCACATGTTGTGGTTGCACCTGCTTGGAGAGATCCAGAAAGGTGTTCTTTGCTTCCTCAAAGCACTTGGCTAAGGCCAGCAAGCTGTCGGCGCCTCAGGTGAAGCTCTGGGCTACCATTTCTCCAGTTCCAATCCGAAGGTGACGTCCCCATGACATCCACTTGAAATCACCGATGAAAACTGAGCAATGAACTTGGTCATCATACAATGTGCTTTTAAAGCTTCATGAAGTTGCCTGTTTCAACCTTCAGCCCATTCAGCCCATACAGCCAGCCCATTCAGAGGACACCTTGGATGGCCGAGCTGCTGTTTTTCATGGTCTCCATGGGAGAAACGTCCTCAATGGCTTTCCGCAGGCCTTGACAAAGGACCTTGGAATTCACCAGCACCTGCCAGATGACTGGGCGGCTGCGGGGAACCGTCTTCCCAAGGGATGCGAAGCAGAAAAAGACTCGAACCCGTTGTAAACCACGAAGCAAAAAGATTTGAAAATAAGATCAAATGACTAAAAGTGATGAAATGGGAATCTTATGCGAGTTTCATCCACAAAGACGCATATAACTAGCACCCAAGGTGTTCCGTGGTACTTCGGGTTGTTGGAACCTTGGAAGCCTGCCCCTCATCTCCTTGCCTGGCTCTGAGAACTTTGAACAGCATACTCCACCAGGATCTTGCACACATGCATCAGCAGCAGGAACTGTTCCTCCTGCCAAACTACTCAGGAAAAAAACACCATCTGGTAAATTCACACGGCAGTGGAAAATGACCATGGTTTAGAGGTAAACCATCTATAGATGAGCGATTTTCAATGGCTATGTTGAATTATCGGAGGGTAAGCGCAATCTCGACCAGTAGAGTTGATACATGGTGCACCCTATGATGCCTATGCTTCTTGGAACAGCCCTCTGAATCTCTACTCTATGCAGGCGGTTAATCTGTATAGGTGATACAATATGAATCAATATGATACAATCCTGCCTATTTCGTCCATCCATTGGTTTCAGAAGAAAATCCACAGAAACCCCAGACACACTCTACATAAACCATGGTAGAAAAAAAAATGTTTCCGATAAACCGTTCCCTTAATTTCACCATAAAATCCAGGAAGGTCACCCCAGCCTCGGGTCTGCAAATGTCCATTAACCTTGGCATCTCAGGGATGATCTGCATGCACGCCTCGCAAGGGCAAGGGATAGCTAACCTGGCTCTCAAACCCAATCTGTTGGGAAATCTAGGGAAAAACCATGGAAAAACATCGGGGTATGGGTCATTTTGTGTTCAACCCTACCTCCAAATGGATGGCTTACTACAACAAACCACCTATGTCTTGGATCCATTGGTGCGTTTGGTACAATATCCATCAATCAACGCTGGATTTTCCACCAAAATCACCCAAATCGGGAAAAAGATGGAAAAAGAAACCACAGAATTTGGGGAATTCGGAATAACCTGACATGTCGTGGTAAAATCCATGCTTTCCAGATCTTTCCAGTTAAGATGTTCAACCACCGAATTCACATCCTAGGAGCCACACCCTGAGCGCCGGCCTCGTTCATCCGCGTGGCGGTCTCATCTTTCTCGCTGGGCCGGGCATTGCGTGCCTCATCCTCCGCCCGCCTGGCTGGTGACTATCCAAATGGGTTTCATGCTAAGTTCGATAAATTAAAGTTATTCAATACTAAAAACAATTAAAATAACAATAAGAGTAATAATAATGATGATCATCATGATAGGATATTATAGGAATCACAATGATACATACCACAAGAACTGAATCATTGGATGATTTCTATACGGGAAAGCTACCAATTTTTGTTGGCCTCTTGCTACATACACTGTTTGACTCATACGCAAATGTCGATGGGTCAAACTTGGGTGCTGAAAAATCGAATAATGCTTTTTGCCACCAAAAACAATCACTTTCTGCGGTGAGGGCCTTAAACCACATCCAAATGTCCCTGTTTGAATATCGCCATTGAGGAGATCCGAAATTCTAACAGCCATGTTTTGAGGTGATGTTGAAGGTTTGAAGTTCCCGCGGGAGCACTTGTGAAGATGAGATTCAGAATTTGACAGATTTCTAAACGGCTGGGATGCTGCAAGCAGATGACCAAATAGAAAGGTTTGCCATTCGTCATTTTTTCAGCTATATAATCATTAATATAATCCTATTGGCAGTCTTGGAGATCCATCTTTAGACATCTCCCAGCCCCCCAGCCCAACACTCCCAGCCGCCTCACAGCCGCCTCCAAGATGTACAACAAGTAGAGTCGCTGTTTGCTGGTGATAGGCTCCATCCCTACTCGTGTGCCTTCCCCCACCAGGCACAAGTTCATGATGGTGCTCCAGTGCGACAAGGCAGGCGAACGAGGCCAAAAGGCACCAACCAAACCTGGCTCAGGGGTGACAGGTGACTTATCAATGGATCACTGCTATGAGTGGGCTTGTAATCCCAATGAACTCCTTCTTACCTCGACTTACGCCCTAGTTTCAAGCCAACTCATATCGAGTAGGGACCCATTCGTGAAGAAGTCCAATCTAAACCTACTTGCCACACTTTCTAAAGCTACCAAGGTGCGTTCAATGATGCGTAGCTTGCCATCCATGTAGTTTTCGATGTACTCCACAAGCCTCAACTGGTTGGAACGAGTCAGCCCTCCCAAGTACAATCTGCAGCCATTAACGGCTGGATCACTTGCAGCTCAAAAATCAATGAAAATGGAATCGGAAATATTAGTTGCTTTTGTTGAATGCAGCGACCATTCAACTGCCTTGAAAAACAGTGGTCAACTGGATACCTATCTGCTCCAGTTGCCACAACTTGGTGTTTCTGTTGCGTCCATCGGGATTTCAGGGTAAACCTCAAGGGGTAGGGTGCGAGACAGCACGGTCGGAGGGCCACCCAAGTGCCCACAGCACTCTGAACATAGGCCCACTATCTGATCCATTGGATGGATGGGGTGACAAATACTGCCATCGTGAAAAATTGGATCATCAGATAATCCATTCACTGATCCATTGGGACATTCGATGACATTCCTATAGTATAGTCTGATATAGATTGATTTAGTCTGTTTCTCACCCAACTTGGCACATGGCATCACTTCTCCAAGAGACATGGAGATTGCGGTCTCGGAGTTGTGGAGATCCCGCACCGGATCTGCGGCCGGCAGGTTGTCGTCTTCCACATCGCCACGGCCACCATCCTCCTGCAGGACATCTGATGTCATGGCCGGATCATCCCCGAAAAAAATAGCGGGATTTGCCATGAAAAATGATGGTACCCCTCCCTACTTGGAATTGATGGTTACATCCATGATTGTTTACTTCTGAGTTTCTTCTTTCCTCTCATGTTTGTTTGCGTGGTGCTTGTACTTCTGCCGTGTTTCAGGCTTCTGTGTGAATGTTGCCATCCTCACCGGATGTGTAATTGGCTCTAGGCCACCAACTTAGCAGCTTCACGGTGAAACACCCTGATATGATTGGGTTGATTTAAGTGTGGCTTTTACGGTCCAAATGTAAGGGGGTCCTGTAACTGTTCGCTTTAACCCAGCTTCGCGATGATTTTTCAGTCCTTGTCTCCTCGCCTGGTCTTGGGCTTTTCTTTGGCACAAATGCCTGGATCTTGGAAGACGTGAGCATTGATGAAGAGCGCTGCCTCTTCTCCTCCCAAGACGTGACGCTGCAACGATTGGATCATCTGAATGAGTGTGAAAAAAACTTCGAAATGAAACGGAAGTTCCACTATGTTCCACTCACATTATTTCTGAACTGTCCAAGAGCCCGGCTAACAACTACATCACGACTTCCAATCACCATATTGGCGACGTTGTCGAACTCTTCTTCCTGGAGATCAGCTGTGCTCTGCTTCACCCCACTAGGGGGTGCTTCAATTCGTGGTTTAGTGGGGATTTTCACCTTAGTTCTTCTTTTAAATCCAAAGACTATAGCAGAGGATAGACTGGACTCATTCAAAAAAAAACAAGCCGTCTTCATGGGAGATTTGGTAACGATACATCACTATGGCCCAGTTCTGATGATTACCAATACCACGATGTTTCCTTGTATCCTAATTTCTGGTTGCGGCATCCCCATAGTAAGTGTCCAGTTAGCTATCTCAAAAGTATTGAACCCCAAATTTGATGGTCTCGCACTAAACAAGGCAAGCCATTCGTAGGTCTTTTCGGCACCACATTTGTAAACCATACCTGCAGTTGTTGTCTAGTTCCAAACCCACCCAACTCTCAATTTCAACAGTTCTATCTCCATCCATTCACCATGTCCTCGGAAAAATGAAACCGGCATATTTTTGTTGAAGATGCTACACGTAGACATATCTACATATCTCAATGCATGTATATGTGTGCTTATTTATTATTTATTCATTTGTCTATCCATTTATTGATTCATTTGATTATTTATTATCTATCGATCTCTTTGTTTATTTACGAATTAATTAATTGATTTACGTGTCTATCTATATGTTTATCTATATATATATATATGTCTATATACTCATTTATACAGATACATACTTCAGACTATGAGGGTTTGTCGAAAAAATAGGGTGTGCTCAACAATCGCTATTTGGGTCAAAAGTGGAATCAGAGTATCCAGTATCCCATTTGCAGACAAAGCTAGTCAAAGCCTTATAGATGAACAAATAAAGATTGCGTATATATACATATAGATATAGAGATTGATGTGTGGAGATTGATACATAAATATACATAAATATTGAGACATAAAATTACATAAATAGATCTATGTATATATGTATATATATATATTGGCTTACCATCCCCACCATCCCCTCCGGTTCCTTCAGCATCTCCGTCAAGGTCTGCTGCTTCAAGCAGCGCACTGCAGAGGCCGCCACGCGCGGATCCACATCGGCCACACGCTCCAAGAGATGCGGCAAGGCGCTGCGACCGAACTTGGCCAACTGTTCCTGGCATCTATTTGGATCGCAACCAGCTGGGGATATCATCTCCAAATGTATGTATGTGTATATGTGTTCATATATTCAGAAGGTTAGCTTTAGGAATTGTATCACTGTTAGTGGAATTGATAGGGACTCCCATTTCAGAAACCCCTATTCCGTATGGAAAGCTTATGGGAATGGGGGTTCCATCATTAGGAGTCCCTATAAATTCCATGGATGTGTATAAGCAAGTTTTTGTATGGGTATGTACATATATATATATTATGTGTGTGTGTGGTTCATTTAGTTTCATTCATTCACTTATTCATACTTATTTATTTATTCATTGATTCATGCATTCATTTATTTATTCATTCATTCATGTATGTATGTATTGATTTACAAGTACTTGGGATATAGGGGTATTTGATTAGGAAAGGGATGTATAAACAACGTAAATCATCCCTTCCAGTACCTACCACCCTATGCGACCCAGAATGAACAGATCCAACGCTAAACCAAGGGAGTTTTCAATATTAGGGGAATGAGATTATGTCATGAAGGGTACTTGAGATATTTGGGAACAACGGGGGAGAGTAGCCTCAACAGTAATAACCTCCTATGAGGCGATATTTGAGATCATCTGAACAACTACTATTGGGGATAAAACCAACCATTTTATGGTCTTATAATGGCAGTTTAAGAATATGTTGATGGGGAAAATGAATCTTTCAAGCATGGAATCGGGATAGGATAGGATTAAACCCACAACATGTTCCATCAAATCAACTCGATAAAAGGCATGTATGTTGCATATTCGATATTCTTTGATGGGATACAACTGATATAATCAACATGATATGATATGGGGAAATCCCATACATAACTGATATCATCAACAATATGTTCCAGACATTACTGATATGATCAATGATCTGGGAGAAAAAACATAATATATATAATATATATATAATATATAATTATATAATTATATATATATATATGTTATACATAACTGATATCATCAACAATATGTTCCAGACATATAACTGAATAACTGATATAAATCTGGAAAAAACATATGCCTCTTGCAGACTCTCCGATCTGTCCTTTACAGCTGCTGACTTCTTCTTGTCTGGTGCATACCATTGGGTCATGACCTGCACGCCAGAGAAAATCTGGTACCCCAAGTTGAATGGATCAGAATGGATTATGACTATGTAATGATGAACTTTTATTAAGATGATCGCCATGAACATGGTGATTTGGAGGGTATATGGTACACCCCATTTTCAGACATCTAATATAGAAATCTGCTAGAAACCAGCAAAAAAGTCCAAAAGATGTTTTTTTCCACCTGCAGGAACGATTCCTACAGGCATGGTCTGGTGTAAATGTACGTGTCACACTCGTTTCCACGGCACAACTGCGTCAGACAAAGACGTCCAATGAAAAATGAAAGGCCAAGCAAAGTCAAGAGTCAAACTTGGATGTTTGATTGTATGTCTGCGACGATCAAATTCAAATCATAGCACAGATACATCCCACAATGTAAATATCTCTGTTGAGGTCTCCAAAACCAAAGGAAAGGGGACATTCTATCTGCAAAAGTTCTTGAAAAATAATCCAGTCCTTCATAAAAGTCATTATCAAACCATCCAAAGTTGACAACCTGCTCCTCTGGTCCCAAGTTTGAGATCCCAACACTCAGCGCTTTCAGCCTCACTTCCACCTCGGCTCAGCCCGTTTCAAGTTGCCAAAGAGACTGGAAAAGTCATCGTCTATCCTGAAAAATCGTTGGAAAATAAGTTTCTCTGTTTGCGGGCCCCTTCATGAAGAACTTGGTCCGAACATGTCCAAGGTACATGAGGGTCGTGGAGCATCAGGAACACTCGAGCTGTCCACTTGTTCTGCATGTACATCTCTGGATCCATCTTCATCAATCGATCCAGCTGACCCAAGGTGTACACCCGGATCACTTCACTCACATCACCTGAGCCATCAAGCCATTAAGCCATCAACGTCAAAATTAAAACTTCTGATGGTGACTATGATGACTAGTGGAAACCAATGGAAACCAATAGGAATCATCAACTAACGGTTCAGTGGACACCCGTTCTGTCCAGTCAACTGAGCTCCCAGACGACTACGCAGTGGGATGATGGTTTCAAGCAGCTGATTTCGTGCCCGATTCATCTCCTTTGTGTGGTTGGCGGAACTTACCACCTCGGCACACGATGAGATCCCCATCCCCACAAGGAATCAGCTTCCCAGCTCCCTTTTTTGTTGCGGATGGGGCCCCGGATGGGGGATAGATTCCTATCAGATAGATCAGATAGATCATCTGGATCAAAACCCTTTAAGGGACAACAGCTCATGCCAGGGGACGTCACGCTTCAGCACCTGCTCCTGGAGGGGATCCAAAACATCCGTGGTGAATAGATGGGGATACACATGGGTGTGAGCATGACCAAAAAATAAAAACGTTAAGGGGTGGTCATTGGGAGAGGTTGCCAACTGCTCAACTCTTGGCAAAATGTCAGTTGGTCTAGGCTGTGGTATGCTGGTGTTGCTTCCAAGGCTGTTGTTCGTACGGGTCTACAAGGTACACTCGCTGGTGGATGCTGTCACGCCATGTGGATGGGACATCAATTCAAGCAACTGGAATGGACTATGCCTAGGGCCTAGGGCCTATGCTGAGACGTTTCAGAAATCATCAGCAGGATGAAGAACATGTCCAAAAATGATCCTACACTTCTTCTGACACCCCAGCATTCCTCCCCGAAATGTTGGGTTGGATCAGTTGGATCGAATTATTTAAATTGATCCCCAAAGAAAGTATCATTTAAAAAATCATCAAATTGGATGATCATTGAGATGATTCTGCATGATTTCTACCTGACATATCTCCCCCCTCAGCAGCCTGGCGCTGGATGAGGGTGCCAAGCTCCCGATGACTGGCCAGCTGCCGTGCTAAGGTTTCGTGGGTCTGGCTCAGTGACTGGAAGTGATGCCCCAAGGCCTGAGGGTCATGGCCAACGTTTCATCAAGTTTCATCAAGTTTCAACCGCAACAAGAGCCCCAAAAAATATGGGATACTCAGAAACCTTGACAAAACTTGGACAAGATTGGATAAGGTTGGATACTTCAGACATATTTTTCCAAACGAAAAAAAAAACATCAAAGTGGATCCACAGTCCAACGGCCCTGGAAGTGGCGCCTCCGCCACAGACAGGGCCACGATGGTGCTGACGTGCCGCACTGAGCGAATGGCAGCGTTGGGCAGCACCAGCAACCAGGCCGTCAGGGAAGCCTCAACCAGGCGATGTGCCGTTGAGCAACGGCCAGTAAGGGCTTAACCCTCCAGTGAACAAGCAAAAAATGGAAAAAGATGGGAAAAGGACAATACTTGAGGGCAAGGGGTAAGGGACGAAAGCTAGCTTGGCAGTGTGATGGGCATGAAACACAGAAGGTAGCGCAGCGGCGGTCTCTTTTGGGTAGCCCTGGGGAGGGGGGACAGTGGAGGGTAGAAGTTAGAAGTCTGTATGTTGGAGGGGACAAGGATGAGAACATATGATTGTTGTCTACTGTTCCACAAAGCAAATGAAGACATTCAGCATAGACAAGATCATGACAACTGAGTCGGGAAAAATCAAAGGTCCACCTTCGTCACCGGAGTGGACCTTTGGAAGAGCGAGGGAAGACGTCACGCAGTGCGAGGCGACAGTTTACGACGACAGGTAGATGTGCGCACCCAACATGAAAATGGAAGGCCAAGGTTCCATACAGCGTCAAGTTTGAAAAGGGCAAAGTTGTGAGGGTCTAAAGTCAAGTGTACAGTGGAGAGTGTGAAAGCTTAAACCTTAAAGCCCTGTTTGTCCAAGTCCTCGCTAAACTAGGCCTTTGCCAAAGGCCTAGGCCTTTAGGACTGAGGTTTTCTCGATGTGATTATTTTTGAGGTCGTATTTTTGTGAGACTTAGCCGAGCAAGGTCCCACCCCCAAAGATATCCAATGCTTGAAAAATTGAGGGTGCAACTTCGAGATTTGCGAAAATAGTGACACCGTGAAAATACCGTGAAAAGGCAATGAAAAACGAGTGAAAGCCCCGTGAAAAGGCCGTGAAAAACCCGCAAAATCCGGTTTGTGCAAACAAATGCAAAAAAACACGGTTTTGCATTTTTGTGACCAATTTTTCTCATGAGTGTTCCCGCTCTATGTGGCTGCTGCTGATCTTACGGTGCGGAAATTGTGTTTTTTGTTTTTTTTTAGTTTTTTGAGGCCTTTAGTAGTCATTTAGGTCCTTTACTCTAACGGCCGCGTTAAACTCGTCCTTTGGACTGACTGGGAAGTGTGAGTGCCACGTGTAAAAGCAAAATGTGGAGTGCCAAGTGTAGAGCGCGAAGTGTAAAGTGTAGAGTGTGGGGTGTAAAGTGTGATAAAATTTAGTGTAAAGTGTGGAGTGTAAAGTTTAGAGTGTAAACTGTGGCGTGTAAAGTACGTTAAGAGTTGAGTGTAAGCTGTCGAGTGTGGAGTGTGGCGTCTAAAGTGTGGCGTGTAAGTTTAGAGTGTAAAGTGTGAGTGTAAAATGCGGAGTGCAGAGTGCTCATTGTAGGGGAAAATTCACAGGTCCACCGTCGGCACCGGAGTGGACCTTTGGAAGCGTGGGAAGAAGTAACGCAGCGAGCGGCGAAAGTTCAGGACGACAGGTAGATGTGCGCACGCAACATGACAATGGAGCTAGGCCAAGGTTCCATACAGAGTCAAGTGTGAAAAGGGCAAAGTTGTGGGGGTCTAACGTGAAGTGTAAAGTGTAAAGTGCGAAAGCGTACAGATTAAAGTGTGAGTGCCACGTGTAAACGTAGAGTGTGGAGTGCCAAGTGTACAGTGTGGATGTAAAGTGTGGACTGCAGAGTGCGAAGTGTAAAGTGTGAAGTGTAAAGTGTGAAGCGTAAAGTTTAGTGTAAAGTATGGAATGTAAAGTTTAGCGTGTAAAGAGTGGAGTGTAAAGTGCGTTAACAGTTAAGTGTAACATGTCGAATGTGGAGTGTAACGTTTAGCATGTGAAGTGTGGAGTGTAAAGTGCGTTAGCAGGTAAGTGCAACATGTCGAGTGTGGAGTGTAACGTGTAAGATGCGGAGTGTAAAGTTTAGCGTGTAAACTGTGGACTCCAGAGTGCGAAGTGTAGAGGGTGGATACCAGTGATCGTGCCGGTGCTGTTACTGGCCGTGTCCCGGGAGGGGTTGAGCCCACGACCAAACTGCTTGTGAAAGGAGGGGAGGGGGAGAGGGCGGGGGGGGTAGTTGGAGATTCCATCCCCCCCAATACCTTGCTAAAGCAAGAGGGACTTCAGCTAGCAGAAGCTAGCTTTCGTGATATGGCCTCAAACCCATTGAAATGGATGATTGAAACGGGGATCAACTGGATTTGAGTGTTTTGGATAAGCACCATGTTGTTTTTTGCTTTTCGATGGAAGGTTTACACATTCAAACCATCTCTCTACTGGATCTTTTTGTGAGATTGCTCAAACCATTCCTCCTTCCAAAATCTTCCAAACATTGTTTTGCATTAAAAGTCAAGGAATATTTGATGCGGCCTACAAGCCATGAACCCATACTAAGACCTGATCTACAAAGCTACAGAGTCGACCCAGCAACAAAACAGCACAGGCTGTGAAGCCAAGGGGCTATCATGTGCGTGTCCAGCAAAGCTGCACCGCTCCTTGGAAGAAAAAAACGCAACTGGTGTCCTGCATCTCGGGTGAAATACCTCTAAAGATTAAAAGCGATGCGCGTGCCCAATATCAAAAGTCATCAAAATCCCTGGATTCCCTGGCTTCGGAGCCATTTCCCAGGTATCAAACAAGGAGTCTTCGGTGCATTCGGCTCGGCAACTCCCAATCCCCGTCACTGTGCCGGGTCTCTGCTCGGCAATGCCGAAGGCGATGAACTTCTCCAGGTTCGCCACGGAGCGGCGACTCTTTGGAATCGAAGGCAGCAAGGGATAGATCGTGGGATCCAAGTTTTGATCCTTCACCCAATCTGGCAGCTTAATCCTGGGGCGCAGATGACAGAGCTTCCCCACCGGTCCTCAAAATAATTCAAAATATATAGGTCATCCACCAAGAACAATCTGCAAGCTGGGATTAACTGGGATTTTGTAGATTTTGCTGAAGATTTCAGGATTTATCTGTCCACCAAGCCAAGGTACACAAGGTGGTGAGGCTCTGCCTGCACTCACACCCAAGACATTGCAATACGCCAACACAACTGACCCATTCAGACCTCTGCTTCCAACATCATTGCTGCAAATCTCTTTGAAATCTCTAAAGATATTTCCGCATTTTTTTTTCTGCATGAAAACCATCCAGCAAAAAAAATTATCCACAGCGAAAGCAGCCACCAGGATGGCCTCTAAATCCTTCTCAGTGACAGCCCCAGGAAGACCACTGAGAGCCAGGATGAGATCCAGCACAACCAGCAGAGAATTGTACAGATCTTTGGTGCACAGTTCGGCCCACTCCTGGGAGATCGTCGCATCTTTTGGTCGTCTTTTGGTAATGTCAACCATCATAAAGTCTGACTATATATTGGGGAACACCCTTTCATCAGAGTGATAAATTATTACTAAAATCATCTGTTCTCGGGTCTGGCAAAGCCCTCAAGTCCACATACCAGATTTCACTCACTTGCACATCACTCACTTACACATTCCAGCACCACGGGATGGGGTGGCGATGGGGTGGGGTGGGATGTTAACGTTCCCTGGCACTTGCAAACCAAGAATGGCACACAAACACTAGCACGCATACACGTTGAACCAGGGGTGGGGTTGGGTGGGGTGGGGTGGGGACAAATATAGGACAAGTAGATGTGTATGTAAGGATAAACAGACAAGTAGATGTGTATGTCCACAAATATCGGAATGTACAAGCGAGTCAAATGCGGAATGTACAAGCGAGGAAATTTCGGCATGTACAAGCGAGTGCTCGCCCCTCAATTCTTAATTCTTGAGTTCTGACCCACATTTGGTGGGGTTGACAATCTAGATTTCAGGGTCGCAGCATGTCGCAGCATGTCGCAACATGTCGCAGTCCTGTGCTTTGATCTTCACATCATTGGGGCTTCCATAGAGGATCACATGTGCTAAAGAGCCTCACAGCAAATCGTCTGATTTTTCTCCATGGTGCTGCATGAAACAAGTTCCCTTCGCCCCCCCAAAAAAAGATTGGAAATGGCTGATGGTCACCATCATGGATGGTCACGGTTAGGGAATACCATCTACTGGATGCTTGAGATTCTCCTTGCCATCTATCCAGGTGTGCCTTCCGGTGGTGGAGCTGGTTCTTCTGGGGCCTGCTTTCTATTCGGCGGAAGAGAAATGGATAGAACGAAATGGATGGATGATGCTGTTTATGTGCATCTCTAAATATTATCTATATTAGACACAGTATATAAAAATAAATATTAAAATATGATGCGACATGATGCGACGTAGTGGTCATGAGAATAAGCTATACACCTTGATGAGTAATCTCTCGGGTTTAAGGCAATCAGTGCAAAATTTCAGCATACTCAACTCACACAACAGTTCCTCACGCAAGAGTTCCTCACACAAGCAAGACAGACTACATAAAATATCTGCAGAGTAGACATTCAATGAACTAAATATGCATGATATGCATGAGTCACCAGATTTGGGCCACATTTCATTGAGAAAAACGGCATATTTTTTCATGGCTTGACCCACATCCACGACAAACCGAGCAGCCTGCGGAACTGGCACATCCGCCGGCTGAGGCTGCGCTTGGGCTGGCTGTGGCGCCTCAACCACCTCGCCATCTGCCTTCACAGCAATGGGTTTTGAAGGACCAGTGCCAGGACATCTATAGGATTCTATAGGTATTTTTAGCTGGGGGTGGTTTGCTGGTGGTTTTCAGCTGGTATCTATGTAGGTATTGTTTTTTTTTACCTCATTGCCGGACCTTTTTTTATTCCAAAGGGAAGCAGTTATTTGTTGGATAGCCTATGATAGGTTTCTTGAAAATTTCTTGATCCATGTTGATCCTAGCAGCTACATCTCATCATGGACGCTAAGGCAGCTAAGGTCCCTGCCGCGCGCTTCGTCATGGCATCAGCAAACGTCTCAATGGGATGATCTGAAATTGTGGCTTCACTTGGCATCACAAAAAAAGCACCCTCTCTGTTCTTGGAATCACAAAGGATGTCCATCTCAAATATTCTGAACTCATGTGTTGATACACTTTTTGTGAATGAATTCTAGCTGTAAAGTGATATTAATAATGCATCGGTGTCTTGGATTTTCTCAGTATGGGGATCTTCCTGCCATATCTGTCGGCTATATCCTCCAGCTGCAGGAAGGTGCATCATGGATAGGACAGGTTTCAACTTTGGCACGTGGCTCATGAGTCAGCCTTCAAAATTCGCTGGCTGGAATTTTGAGAAGAGATCCAACTTGGAGATCTCCTCATAGTTTCCTTCAGCCATAAACCCCCCACCTTTGGGAGATCCAATGCAGCCGCGCTTGGCCTTTTTTTCAGCCGGCTGCACCCTGCCAGCATCAAGCCTCCCATGGCTGGATCCCATCCCAGCACATTGGACTGCCACATCTGCCCACACCTCTGCAGCCCCCAAGCCGTGTGAATCCGTGTAGAGATGAACAAAGACCTGGCTCCGAAAGCAGCTTCAAATTGAAAGACCCTGAAAGACCCTGTGATGGGTGGTGGGTGATGGGCTTATGTTTGGGTGATGGTTCGGGGGATTGTTGTTGCTGTATGGTTGGGTGAAGGTTTTTGGTTGATGAAACGGGACAATACTGCAGTGTTCAAATAGTTCTGGAAACATGCTTCTTGGGGGGCCAGCGTTGCCCGTTCTAACTTTTTTCCCTGAGGATTTATTTGACTTCAGGCATTTCCATCCAACAGAAGCAACACGACGAAAAACACATGTCGCATGGCACCATCTCTCCTTCTGCCAGAAGTTCTTTTCCATCTTTCAGGTCCTGCTTATGCAAGTAGACCTGTGCAAATGTCAGGTGGCATTTGCGAAAACCAGCCTGAAAGAAGAAGCCGAAACAGCAAAGCTGCTTGTCCCAGCAACTTCAAACATCCCTCCAGTCCCACTATCCGTTTTCCCAGCCTTGCCCTCTCTTCTCGAAGCCTTGGGAAAAGATAGAAATTACATCTTGATTTGATGGCCATCCCTCACGGATTTCTACACTGCCAGGATGGCCAAGGACTGCGACTGTTTTCATCTCCACTTCTGGGGTGTTTCTCTGCTCCAAACCAAACTGTGCACAGCTTGGGCTGCGCAGCCAAGATCTGAATCCTACGTCTACGTGGATGAAATCCGGACAGACTCCAACCATCAGGGGTTTTCCACGCTCATCTTTTTAAATAATTGGATGGATCGGATTTCGTCCATTAAATGAGAGCTACTGTCCCAGTACTTGACTCACTGGTCAGGTGAAAATCTCAGATGGCACCAGCTTCTTTTAGCATGGGCTCCAGCTTCCCTTCTTTCTTCAAAGTCCTAAGTTCTCACATCCAAGGGAGGGATCCCGAATCGGATTGAACAATAGCTGGAATACGCAAACCTTTTTTTGTCCTTTTCTACATGTCCCATTACTTTGATCGGTTCTAGTCAAATCCAATGCTGACCAAGTCGTTTGCGCTTTGTAACCATGCTGACCAAGAGAAAGCCAAGATTCATCAATCCAGGTCCATCGTTGCAGCCTGTCGCGACCCATGTTTCAGTCCCAAATGCGGGGACACCCAGAAATCCTCACCAAAACGAGCCAAACAGGCCGTTTAGTCCATATATTCTTGCTGCAGAGTTGCGGATTCTGGTCAAAATTTGGTGTCCCCAATATTGTACATGCTTAAACATGACCAGTCCATCTCCACTAAGCTCCTTTTAAATGGCTTGACCCATACCAGCAGCGCCCAGGCGCGGCCTCCGATTCCTTCACCCGCGATGAAGATGTTGGGCATGGAGGTCCGTTTCGTCTTCTTCGCCAGCTCGGCTCGCAGCTCCTTTCCCTGGCGAAGCTTCGAACAAAGATCCAAAAAGAATGCTAGGCGATCTTAGTCGGCTGTCTGTTTTAGTGGGAATTCAATGAAGTCTTGTAATTATATATGTGTGTGTATTTTTGCTTTTTCTTGCAGGAATTTCCATTTATTGATTGTTTGCATTTATGGTTTCACAGGTTCAAGATATTGCAACAGCATTCCTTTCGAATGACCTCCTGGTCCATCTGATCGAGATCCAGGGCAGTGAAAGGTACGCCCATGTCGTTCAACTCCTTCTTGGCTTTGATGCAAAAGGGGCATTTGGAGAAAGAAAACCTGGGCGTTTGGCGTGGTGATGCACAACTTTTCAGGGTTCGTTGATAGGATTCCCAATTGATGGATTGTGATCATCCCACATATATATATAATTATAATTATATATATATAATTATATATATATATTTATACATATATATATATATATTGGATTATATTGGATAGTACAACCCCTTTTTTGGTCATCACTAAACCGTGGTTTGAACACTGCTCGGGTCTGTCGCAGCTTGGCGTGACAAACTTCGATCATCTCCAAGAGCCCGTCGACGCGATGCTGTCGAGCAGCATGACCACCTTGTCACCTCCAATGTAGCCCTGAAAGTGGAAAAAGGTGGCTGCATCGACATATGGGTATGGACCATATGGATCAATACCTATTAATACCATTTTTAGATATTTTTAGGGGGATGAACATCCATTTACCAGCTATTTTGATGTGAACTACAGGGGTACAAGGTTTTGACACACTGCTATATTAGGATTCCAATCAAACGTTGCTCCCGTGAACCCCCTCACAACCCTCACAAGCTGCAGATGTTGTCATCGCCCAGACTGCAGCCTCCAACTTCTTTTGCGCAGCTTCCTCATCGTAGTCACCTGCTTGCATCTTGGCGAAGGAAATCTTCGCATCCTCAGCGACAACTGTCTGGTTATGGTAGACCGTCGTTGGGAAAGTGGTTGGAAAGTCTGGTGAGAAACCCTCCACAGCTCCCAAAGTATTGCCACGCCAATAACTGGGATGGTGACCGAAGGTGACCTTTCAGGCCAGAAACTTTCAATCTAGTAACTAAAACCTCATGATCTTCAGTTATAAAGAAATTTACCAACTGCCATGTTCGATTACCAGCGGGTAACTGCCGATACGACAACCTCCCTTGTGCTGGTCTTATCCGCTCTCAGCTGCCAGCATTGAGAGGCGATTCTGAGAGAGCCTCAACCACTGGGATGTCGTTGTGGGTCCGCGAAGCCAACCATTTCTGTCCAACCATTTGTTACACCATGTTACACCTATACTTACTATACAAATATATTACAAATCTATACAACCATTGACAAGTTGCTGGCTTCATCCCAGCAGAACCATCTCTTGCACATGTTGAACACGTCATCACCTCACCCAGCCTTGGCCAGCCAGCCCATTGCCTGACCAAAGGGCGACTCCATGTAGTCCACCCGATCCTCATCCTGAGGGCTGCACAACCCACGGCCAACAGATCCAACCGATATGATGTTTCAGGCCTACAAAAGTGGAAATAGTGGGTAGTACAAGGTGCTATAAATGATGGTTCAGCCATGTTCAGCCCCAAAACTGGGGTAATACAAGGAAACAACCAGACACAAAACTCTGTGCGGCACATGCGTGTCTTCAAACTTTGAAAAACCTTCTGCAACGATTTTTACAATCCAAATGATGTGCTCAACAGCATGTCCTTCTCAAAGCCCGCGTTGAGGGCAATTCTGCTACCTCAGACAGGAAAATGTGCATCACAAATGCCTTCAACTTCAAATCTGCTGCCACCTGACGCATATGACTTATCCCGCACAGATTTCAGGCACAACAAGTGCCGTCTGCATCACCAAAAGAAACTGGCTGAGATGAGGCCTGGCAACGCCAGGCCCATGCAAACCATGCAAACTGTATTTACTTCAATCCTCCCGCTAGCAATTCCAATCCCTTGAGCTACAGCCATCCTTCTCAGCTGATACTTTGAAAAAAGTTAATTTTGACTTTGATGTCTATCTATTTCTATCCATGTCCAGCAATAAATCCGGCCATTCTCCTACCCTTCATCCAATTCCCAGAGTCCACTTCTACCCAGGTGCTCACTGGCCGTGTTCGGTGTCCCGGGAACAAGAAGCTGGGAACACCTGAAAGTTTCCCGCACCAGCCACTCTGCGCACGAGAAGAGCAAGAGCAGCAAATCTTACCCTCCAGTAAATTAACATGCACCCTGCCAGATAGGGGTTAGAAGATTAGTTTCCAGCAAAAATTGAATATGTTCAGGGTTTATGTTGATTTACCTGAGGGTATTGTTTTGATTGGCATTGTCACAGTCACTGAGCTTCAAGCAAAGAAATGCACACAGCACAAGCCAAGCACTCAAAGCCCTGCCACGATTTGGAGTGCATTTTTCAGATCAAAGGAGCCTTGGCTCCAGATTGGGTCCCAAGAATCAGGGAAAATCTATGAATGAACAAAAACTGATGTGGGTGTGTCTGAAAATAGTGTACCCCTAAACCCAATGGTTAATGATCATTATCCCTATTAAATGGCTATAATTGGGAATATACCCTATTTTCAGACAAACTGATGTAGCAACTGAAAAGCTCTACTCTTGAGATGCCTTGAAACTTATGTTGCAATCCATTGCAATCCTAACATCCCACTGACACCATGGATTGAGCGAAGCTTATCGATAGATTGAGCCAAATTCATGTTCGGGGACAGTCTTGAAGACAAACGAGGCACGTGGCACAGATGTGGTTTTCTTCTTGGGGGCAACCCCATTTTGGACTTCTAGAAATTCATGAAATGTCGCACCTTCCTCTGGCCATCGCTCAGTGTCGATCTTGATCTCAATAAATGGAGACTTTTTTTGGATCAACCCCTGCAGGTGAGCAGGTTTCAACATGGATCCATTGTACCAATTTGTACCAGCCGTTTGGACGAAGAATCTTGGAATTAAATTGACTGCCGTGCGGTTTGATCTGGTTTGGCTCATTTGCGTTCAGGAAAATCGGATTAAATTGCTGACATGTCCAGCTTTTCAGTCTGCTCCAAAAGCTGCAGTGAGGGGTGGTGCAGGCAAGGCTCAAATTACCAGCCCTCGCCATTTGGACCAGACACAACATGTTTGAAAGAACACTGGAATGAATCTCACCACAAGTTTGAATGTCAAGTGAAGTTAACAAGTACAATCCAAAACACACAGCAATTTGCCTGACACATCTGACACAAGCACTAAAGTCACTAAAGTCCCTACCAATAGCTCCCTGCATCGGCACAATATCGGATATATCGGCACGATAGGACCCAGGCGGCTGGATGTTCAAAGGGCTGTGATAGCTTCACCTGCAGCTGCGCCAAGCCTGTCATGTCCTGTGTCCTGACTCAGCTAAAAGTTCCCAGGATCTTGACACTGAGAAAGGAAAGATCATGGACACTTTGGACTAAGAGAACAAGGTAGTGATATTAGTAGTGATACTGTAAATGAGAAAACTATAGCGGAGATCTCAATTTTTGTGGCTGTTACCTCTGGTAATTCAACATAGCTATGGAAAACGGCCCATTTATAGATGATGTGCCCATTACAGTTCAACCTCCATTGATGTCCCGCTGAGCATCGCTGCCCAGCCGAATGAGCCCTTCCACTCCAGTACTGTGGCCGAAAGCATCGCCTGGAGATGACATCCCACATATTTTTGGATGTTTTTGCGTTAAACGGGAAAGCTGGAGAAAAGAAGTTGCTATCACCGTAAATCAATAGATGAAGCTTCACATGTCCTGTATCTTACAATTCTTACAATGGTCTAGATGGGTTTACAATTGACAAATGTCATTTTTACCAATCGCTTGGCTGAAATTTTACGGGAAAGTCCCCAGGCTGCCGGCCTCGGAGACCACCTCTCGCGGGAGGTCGGGACCGCCTTTCGACAGCCACCATCCTGAGGAACGCATGGAATGGGTCACCAAAAAACCCGCAGATGTGTAGCAAAATCATAGAAAATCACGAAGCAAAATGAACTATAGACATCTATAGACTATAAACCTCCAATTTTGATGGTTCAATTCATTTAACCCCCAAATGTGGCTAAAAGGTGTCGGGCTGGAAAAAAACGCAATACGAAATGCATCTTTGGTGGTTTGGGAGGGGGGTATGGGGTGGGGGGGTGGGGGGGTGGGGCCAATAACGTGCAAGTGCACTTACACACATACTGGATGCTATCTTTACTTGCACATACAAACATACTTCCTGCGACGCTAGAGACATTTTCTCCTGCACTCACACACATACTTCTTTTTACACTAGAGACATCTTCTCTTGCGCATACATACATACTTCCTGCTATGCTAGAGACATCTTCCCTTGCACTCACACACATACTTCATTTTACGCTAGAGACATCTTCTCTTGCACATACACACATACTTCATGCAACGCTACAGACGTTTTTTGTTGCACATACACACATACTTCCTGCGTCGCTATATACATTTTTTATTGCACGTACCACATACTTGATCCTACGTCCCATAGACATCTTTTCTTGCACATACATATATACATACATACTTTATGCTACTCTACAATTCTACAGATGTTTGTTGTTGCACATACACACGGAGGAAAAAAAAACGTTCTTTGAAGCTTTGCCCTGTAAAACTCAATGTAATGTTACAATGGGTCTTCAAAATCCCTGGGATTTTCAAGGTGCAATTCTAACATGACAAAACATGGACAACTGCTAGCGCGGTTGTCACCCTGCTGGGATGTTTATGTCTTTTGGGGTTTACAGAAACCATCCCCACGTCCTTCAAAAAGTTCGTTTGTTTTGCTTTTCTAAACTCCAACAAAACAAAAACTCTGTAATTCGCAGGAGATTTGATCATGCACCCCCAAAAACACGCGCGAGCTTCTACCAGCCCGACGCGTGCTAAAAGCTCGGATATGAGCCCAGAATCCTCCGTCATACCCTTCTGGTTGACAATGGTTCCCATATCCAACTCACAAAAATCCCTTTCAACCAGTCCAAATATCACCATTTTTCAACATCAGCCACCAGTTTAGGGCACTGCAGTGGTCAAGTATGGTCAAGTGTTGCGGGGTGAACGGTGTGGAGGCTGACCAAAAATTTGGTCCTTTTCCAATCATGTGAGGCTTATTGAGACTGGCTATGTAACGAAGTTGCTTCAAAGTTTGCAGCCACAATACGAGAAAATCTACTCAATCCACTGAGGCTTGAAAAGACCAAAGCTCGACACTGAGAGAGCAGCCATTCTTCCAACCCTTTCCCTTGGACTTTTTTCCTCACATCCCGGTGGACTGCAGAGGTCTATCCAAGGGTTGCATTGGTTGCACGTCAAATGGGTCTCTCCAAGAATTGAGCGCAAACCAACCGTTATGGCTTTCTGATAGGCTGCTGGGTTCCCATTTTCCGGACATACCCAGAAAATACCTCCGCCGCAAGTACCACATACACAGAAAGTGTCCAATTTTGTGCACACATCATCCATTTTGAAGACATACAAACTTCACTTGGGTGTGACTCAAAATCTGGAACCCCAACATCCCATGGTTACCCATGGTTTATCATCGTTCTCCCCACCACTGAGGTGACCCAAGTGGCCTTCTGTGGGCTTCTTTGGCACCTTTTCATCAGCCAGAGCGCATAGGTCTGTATCGGCCTGTGTCGTTCGTAAAGCTTCAAGGGCGACATGCGGCTACGGGTGGTGAAATTTGAGAGCTGTTGTGACCCAAACATCACCTATTCCAACTTGGAGGTCATGACATGTACTGTACACTCTGTGCTTAATCGAAGTCAACAAAAACATATTGTGTCGGAAATGTCCTAGCTACTAGGCACATAGCATATCCACCCCCAAGTAGCCGTGATGCTCAACGCCAAGGTCAGCAAGGACCAAGATTCTCTGCGAAAAAATTGTCACAGGTCATAGCATAGCAGGTTCCCAAAAAAGGTGCTTGAACAAACTCAGCCACAGTCATGTGGGTACGGGTCAAAACCCCTGGTACCCTGGTCAACACCAAAATAGCTGCTATAGCTGGAATCCCAAAAAAATATGGTATCAAAGGCTTTGATTCAATTGACTTACCATAAAATAATCACGTTTCTTGGTTAAACCACTATTTTCAATAGGTTTTGACCCATCCCAATCACAGGATCAGCCAACTTGCCAACCATCCGCACCTCAACAGCCTTCAGCGCTTTGCTGGCTGCACTTTGCTCAGCAGCTTGTTTGTTTTGGAAGACCTGTCGCCGCATGTGGCTGTCAGATTTCACCCGAAGGGTATGGCGTGACATCAGATTTCACCCGTTGGCATCCCTTCCATTGAGACTGAAAAATCAATGAAGTCGAGCACTGTAAACCTGGAAGTGATGGGATGGGGATGAGGATGAGGATGAGGATGATGATGAGGATGATGATGATGATGATGATGATGATGCGAGTGTTTTTTTTGAAAGCTGCAACTGTTCGCCCACCTCCCCAACAAAGAGCTTCGTTGACCAATCCTCCGGCAGGCACCTCAGCACATTCTGCGACACTATCAGAAGGGAACTGGTCGAAGGATCTCAGAAGTTTCACGACTAAAACTCTCTGGTCACATTGGAATTTGTCGAAATGTGACAGCATCTGACAACCTCCCACCCTTTCGAAACATGGCTTGGCCCTCAAAACGCCTGAGGCGAACACGGCAAACGCACCGTCGATTGGTAGCCCGTGGGGTTCTGCAGCACGTCATCTATGACACATTGAGCTGTCGACTTCAATTTGGGAATGGATCAAAACCCTTGCACCCTCGTGAACGTCCAAAAAAAGAACAAAATAGTTTATAGGGGATGTTCATCTACCCGTTCTTGCTGGCTGTTAGGTTCTAACCGATTCTAACCTACATTGATTAGCATGATCTATGCATTGAATGCCAGCATTTAGGTGGAGCCAGCTCCCTTTACATCTTTAAGCCATGGCTCCCAATGCAAGACTCCCAATGCAGCACAGGTCCTTTCCAACACCGATCTGCTGTGTGTCATAGAGCGTTTCGCCCTTCTCCAGCGGTCGCTTGGCTATCCGCATGCAGAGGGCATTGAGCCTCACCTGGGGCACCCATGGAAAATCCCCCAAAAAAATGGGATGATTTAAGGGTACCATTTATGGAAACCTCCATATGAAATACCCCCAATAAGGGACACAACATGAATAGATCCAGTACAAAAAAAACACCATGGTTTTTCAGGGAAGTATTTTATATTAGGGGAGAGGGATTACTCAACAGACAACTCCAGTCCAATGCTTGTCTTCACCCAGAGTTCTAGCAGTTCCAAAAACTCTTGCCATGAAAAGGATGGAATCCCCGAGCCTTGTCGGTGAGTGCAGGGTTCTCCGCATCAGGTATCTTCACCTACACAGCTTTCAAGCTGGCTGCGCACCAAGAACAAATCGGCACCGTATGGCACCGCCCTTCCCTGCCTTGGCCACGTCGTCGCCTCACACAAATCCCACAGGGACAAGCTGTCACTTGTCTTTCTGCCATTGTCTTTTTCCCTCTTTGATATCCGATGTGTCAAAAATCAGCTGCACATTTGTGCTGAGTTTCGCACCCCCTTCAGGTTTCTTCTTCTTGGCAGGTTTGCCAGCTGGGAGCGAACTGATGACACCAGCGAAGGCCTGCAGATGCTGCGCTTGGAAGGTCAGTTTTGGAGGGTGTGGACAGTGCGGACCCCCTTTTTTGTTCATGGTGGTTGCAAAAAAAGTTTGACGTTAGTGGCAATTAATTTCACCTGAAGCATCTCGAATACTGAGGGGTGGTTGATTATGTGTTTTGGGTTGTCGATTGGAATAGAAAAAAAACATCTAGCCTAGCCTGGGCCCTGGAAAACCATGGTCAACTTCTCGACTTCCTGCCTTCAAAGCCTGTTGTGCTGCAGACTTCTCTGCTTCCTTTGGAGTCTCGCTCAGCTCACCAGCATACTCCTGGCGGCAGTCACCTGGGCCCCTGCACGCCTCAAGTAATGGTCAACCTCAAGAAGAAAAGGAACCGTCGAAAACAAAGAAGATTAAAATGAATTTATCAACAAAGATAGGCCGAAGACATCGCGCGAGATAGATCAGATTCGATTAGATTAGGTTAGGTTGGATTAGGTGGTAGATAGATAGATTGATAAATAGTTAAATAGATAGACAGACAAACAAACAAACAAACAGATAGATAGATAGATAGATAGATAGATATCATGATCAACAAGAATCATACTTGGTCCCACTGGTTTCCAGAATCAAATTGCTAGAACATCTGACCAACTTTGATCTCAACTTCAGTCGATCGGATCCTGCCCCTCCATGCAATTCAGGCGAACGATGGACTGATACCTCCCGTGTCAATGGTCGGTAAATTGAAACCCTTGCTACAAAGCGGGACTCCAACACAGCTGCAAAAAATAGAGCAAACTGACCCCCTGGCAAAAAGGAGTTGTTCGGTTCCCTTTCATCTCGCAAGCGGGTTCTAGAATCTCAAGTCGGTCCCTTTTTGACTGCAGGGAAACTGAGGAAAATCAGAAGCAAAAACTGTTTCGACAACTCGGAGCACTGCTTGTTCCCAAACTTTGTGGTCGAGTACAAGATGTCCTTCCTTGTGACCGGGCGAAGGCAGTACCTGCGGATGGACGTCCAAGCTGCTGTTGGAGGCACTTCCAACAGAAGTCCCGTGCAGGGCACACTCAGAAGCCACTCAAACATACTTGCACGTCAGTGGTAAAGGTGAGCAAATCAAATGAACCAATTCTGCCCGCCATTGCAATGAAAGTGAAACTGTAGAAAGCAGACTTCGCCTCTGGCAAAACTGGTTCAGCTGGGTCTTTGCATCCATACCATCCGTGCCATCTGCGCCTGCAAAACTTGGGCAGGTGGCAAGCTCAACATAATCTGCTTGAGTTGAAATAGAATCATAACCCTGGCAACAAACAAAATGCCTCCATTCTCCTCCATGGCAAGGCAACAGATGGCACGTGTGTAATTATAAGACTGTCATAAAAACCTTGTTTTATGTTGGACTATGTTGGACTATGTTGGACTATGTTGGACTCATCGGGTTTGACAAATAAATTCTTCGTTTCGCGGCGTTTCCATTTCCACTGCTGCTTACAGCGTCTCCTAACGGTTATGGTAACTTACAACGAGATGCAGACATTTTCATCAGTTCATGGGGACCATGTCGGACCATCAAAAACCAAAGTGAAATAGTCGCGTCGTGTTCGCTGAGTTGTCGGTCCGAAAAAGAAGCTGCCGGTCAGCTGGGCGATTGCTCACCAACAACTCCAACTGCTGACTTTGAATGACCTACTCGTAAGGATTGGCATGAACCAGCAGGCATCAAACTCATGTCACCCAAAATGTAGCCTTTTTTCGCTAGTGGTTGCCAACATTCGAACGATTTTGGGAAGCGGTATCGTATGTCTTTCGGCACGGTCACCTGTGCACTGAAGAATGAAGTTTTGGCAAGTTCTCACTTTCAGGTCAAATGGGGATGGGTCAAAACCCTATCCCCCTGGTGAACCCCAAAATAGCTGGTAAATGTCATCCCCCCAAATATAGCAAGATTGGTTTTGATACATCCCTAAATTTCCAAATTTTGGTGGTTGCCAAAAACGTGCAATGGATTCGCAACGCAACAAGACTGCTTGTCATACTGGAAGTGGAAATGCTTTCGGCGGTCTTGAACTGGCCATCTCTTGGGCCACATCACTCCAGGATGGCTTCCGCTGCAGCTACCAAGCTCGGTGAACACGCTCACGCAACCACCGCTACCGCTGCTACCTTTTTCGTTGTAGCTCGATCTCTGGTTGCCTGTTATTGAAGAATTAAAAAATGCTCTCTGCTGAAGTGCGGCGTGGTTGAGCATCGCTGTCCCACTACCAATGGGACTGCGATGGTTGGAAACATCAAATCCACTCGCAACGTAGGGAGCAACAGAGGGAGCTGTGAGGATGGCAACAACACTAAATTAAAACAACATGGCCTCTTCAATTTGGCACTTTCCCACTGTGTTTGCCTCATCCGGTACATCAAAAGAGCCCTTGAAAACGCTGGGGGTTCATGTCGCTGCCATCAAGAATTGAGAGCAAGTTGCTCATTCTATAGCGCTAGACAAATCTGAGCAGTCAACAAAAAATCACAGGATGCTCTCGAATTCAAAGGCCAATTGTGGTTGGATTCCTGCATATGTCTCCAATGACCAGAACCAGTACGAGACCGCTCAACAACCGACAGGCCAACACGGAGTGGCCATGTGGAAAATGCAATGGTTGCCATGCATCTTGGTTCTTCAGGCGCAGGTCATGACATGTTTTTTTCATGGAATATTACTGCACTTAAGTTAAGGTCACATGTTTGGCCCATGTCGTACCTGCAGCCGAAAAGAACCTTGTACTCAATGCACTGCCCTTCTTCAACGTTCAGTCAGTGTCGGACTCACCATCGTTCGGAGTCACGAGAAGGTCCAGCGCCGTCCGCAGGATTCTTTCGTAGTTCTCTAGCTTTCTGACCTGCTTCTTGTTGCCTTTGCAGATCGTGTTTAGCACCTCAAATTCTGCGCGAACACTCCAAGATCCAACTTTGATACGCAGGCTGACCGGTCGCTTACTCTACCATGAACCGCAGATCTGTGGGAACTGCTGACCTCCAGCATGACCTCTGTAAGTGCCGAAATCAGCTGGGCAGCCACGTCAAACTGACTAAGATTGGCATACCATGGCAGGAATGTCACTGGTAAGGCTGACAAAGCCATGTCCCTATTATAACCCCTCCTGGTGTTGGCTAAGGGATTCACACAGAACGCCTAAGGTGCAAACCTGTTCAGCTGAATCTGTTGTGGTCATCTCATGGCCCAATTTTTTTCTTTGCGGTGAGCTTCAGCTTCTCCAATCTGCAAGGGCTGAACCAGATGATTTGACCATGTTCAGCGACATGATGTGACAAAAGGACATTGAGTGTGGGTCCAATTTGGCTATGAACTGTCGTCAGAGTCCCAAGGTCAGGTCAAAATGTTTGGACTGGAAACAGCCATCCCAAAATTGGTGTAAGTGAAAATCCACCGGAAAACCCTGCTGTTTCATGGTAAAGTCCATGGGTTCCTGCAAATTTCCCCTTAAACCAATCCCTTGAAACTAGGTAAATTAACTCAGTCTCCCGGTCTCCAATGGTTTGACCGAATCCATTCAGCACCTCTTTTCGAGAAGCTCCCTGAAGCTGACGGTCTGCTCCACCAACTCGCAACTCAAATCCACCATCAGCTTTCTGAAGTCCATGCCTTGGCCAAAAGTGGTCTTGTTTCAATGAAATCTGTACTATATGGGTCTGCCTGAAAATGAAGTATACCCAAAAATACATTGAATGTTCTATGAAAACCATTTTCCGGAACCAAATTGCATGAAAGTTGCCTGTGGCTTGACTCATACCCATGTGCAAAGGCCTACGAACTGTACATGGAGCAAACCCGCAATAGGGAAAATATGACCTGATAGACAGAAACGACCCCCTCCTTGGACTGCGGAACAAATGTCAACAAGCACATGGTCCGACGCTACCAGTGCTCCCGCACAAGGCGGTGGCAGAAGTTTGAAGGATAGGACACTATAGGAGAAGTGAGTTGTTGTGATGCATGGATGGCAGAGCGAATCCACTGATAGACCGAAAGGTGGTTGGAGTTGTGTTTTTTGGAGTGGTTGCAGTGGTTGCAGCCACAACTGCTGGATATAGTGTGGCGTAGTGCAGCTGTAGTTGTGGTTGTAGCGTAGTGGAGTTGCAGTTGTGTGTAGTGTAATCAGCGTAGTGAAGTTGCAGTTGTAGTTGCGGTCTGGTGTAATGAGTTTAGTGTTATGTGATGTAGTGTAGTGTACTGTAGTGTTGTGGGCTGTAGCGTAGTCTAGCGTACTGTTCTGTAGTGTTGTGTGCTGTAGCGTAGTCTAGCGTACTGTTCTGTAGTGTTGTGTGCTGTAGTGTAGTCTAGTGTAGTGTAGTCTGGTGTAGTCTAGTGTAGCGTAGTTGTAGCTGTAGCTGTAGTTGTAGTTAGTGTAGTAATGTAGCATAATGTAGCGTAATGTAGCGTAATGTAGCAGTAGCATAATGTAGCGTAGTGTAGCGTAGTGTAGCGTAGTGTAGCGTAGTGTAGCGTAGTGTAGCGTAGTGTAGCGTAGTGTAGCGTAGTGTAGCGTAGTGTAGCGTAGTGTAGCGTAGTGTAGCGTAGTGTAACGTAGTGTAGCGTAGTGTAGCGTAGTGTAGCGTAGTGTAGCGTAGTCTAGCGTAGTCTAGCGTAGTGTAGCGTAGTGTAGCGTAGTGTAGCGTAGTGTAGCGTAGTGTAGCGTAGTGTAGTGTAGTGTAGCGTAGTGTAGCGTAGTGTAATGTAGCGTAATGTAGTGTAATGTAGTGTAACGTAGCGTAATGTAGCGTAATGTGGTGTAATGTAGTGTAATGTAGTGTAATGTAGTGTAATGTAGTGTAATGTAGTGTAGTTGTAGCTGTAGTTGGCGTTGTAGCTGTGGTGTAGTTCAGTGCGATTAGTGCAGCGTAGCGTTGTGTAATGTAGTGTAATTGTAGTTGTAGTTGTAGTTGCAGTTGCAGTTGTAGTTGTAGTTGTAGTCTAGTGTAGTGTAGTGCAATGAGATTAGTGTAGCGTAGTGTAATGTAGTGCAGTTGCAATTGTAGTTGTAGCTGTAGCTGTACCTGTAGTAGTAACAGTAGCTGTAGTTGCAGTTATGCTTGTAGTGTAATTAGTGTAGTGTACTGTATTTAGCGTAGTGTAGTGTAATTCGTGCAGTGTAGTGCAATTAGTGTGGTGTAGCGTAATTAGCATACTGCAGCGTAGTATATGTTTTTTTGCATTTGTAGTGGTAGTGTCGTGCGGTTGTAGTTGTAGTTGTAGTCGTAGATGTAGTCTATCTATCTAACTATCTATCTGTCTGTCTGTCTGTCTGTGTGCCTGTCTGTCTGTCTGTCTGTCTGTCAATTTTGAAAACAAAGCTATTCTGCGAGACTTCCTCAAATTTTGAAGTTGGCAACATCAAAAACGAAGCAATTCCACGAGACTTCCTCAATTTTGAAGTTGGCAACATCAAAAACGAAGCAGTTCTGCGAGACTTCCTTCAATAATGGAAAGTTGAGTGCAGAGCTGGCGGCCTCGTACCAATGCGTTTTGCAATTGTTCCACTCTACCTGTCTAAAGTACTGCGCCGGCCGCGAAAAAGTGATGCTAGGTCATACGAAGTGCTGCACCTGTCACGCAAAATCATCTTCCCAAAACTGAAGATCTGATGCTCCAAAATGCAACCCCTCTCAGACCATTCAGCGCCCTGACCTCCTGACATCTCTGATGAACATGTGTCTTGTACTGCGCCTGCCACGGAAAATGCATCTTTCCAGATCCTCCCACGCCGGCCATCCTTTTTGGAAATGCTAGAAAACCCTCACGATTTGCTCACTTTGACAAGGTGCACAATCCCTTGCGCCGGCCACGCGAAACGACATCTGAACGTCCAAAAGTGTTCCGTGCCCGTCAATTTTTTGGCACTTTTGGCTTGGAAATGTGCTTCGCGCGGCGTGCACTTTTTCGACATCTCAGCTTCCAAAAGTGGTCCGAGCAGGGTGTGCTTTGTACATTTTGACTTGGAAATGTGCTTTGCGCCACAACAGCGTGCAATTTTTCATCTCTCATCTGCCCACATGGCTCCGGCCTACTTTTCGAGCCTCCGGCGCCACAAAACATTGGAAAAACACAGTGTTTCGCGACTTTGCTACATTTTCGCGTACCTGCATCTTCTTTCTTCTCACTCTTTCTCTGCTCTGATCTTCTCTCTTCTGCTCTTCTCTTCTCTTCTCTTCTCTGACTCTTCCCACCTCTGCTTTTCCATTTGTCCATATTGTCGGAAGGTGGACTTCTAAACCTCCTTCCACGATGGATTGTGCTGCAGTTGACTCTGTTTAAAACCCTCGAGATCTTAGGAACGGGCGCAGTCCCGAGGCCGCAAATCCCTGCAGAGGCTTGAACTTACCTCACTAGGCCAATCTGCAAAAGGCACTGCAACACCAAAAACGACTAACAGATCCCTGCTGCAATCAACTTCATGGATGCATCATAATGACGCGATTTACCAAGCAAAACCTTCAATGTTTGCCAGGTGGCTGTTCATATGTTTCACCAAAATCATCGCCGTCTTCATCACTTCAGTTGCGCCAGTTTTGACCTCCAGCAGGTCGGAATACTGGCATCATGGCTTTTCAGCAGCTGACCATAAATCATAATCACAGTTATGGATGGGAAATCAGAGAAAAATATCTCAACCCTTCCAGGACAAAAATTATTGAACAAATCCCTTAACAGATCCGTGCCTTTGGGGCCAATCCACTTCTACCAGCCCCAAGGTACCCCCATATTTGTGGCAGCCCCTACTCGCCTCCCCAGAATCCTCACGGTCACTCTGACTCTCGGAACTTCCGGAGTCTGCACTGGTTTCAGGAACCCTGTCAGTACCTGAACACCAAAGCTTCCTCTGGTAATGTGGTAGACTGGTAGGCCCAGAGCCAGCCCTAAAAATCTCACCAGAAATGGGTGGTACAAAACCTACAAAACGTACAAACCCTGCAAAATTGGAGGTTTATGGCATTGGATTTACGACATTATTCCATAAGTCTCACGCTACAGTTTCTGAGCCCGGAGCGCAAGCTGACCGATTTGATGGTCACCTTCACCTTTCTGCAGAGAATGTCAATCGTAACCAACTTGTCCAGATCTGGATCCATTTGGTCTTTTGCCTGGCAAATTTGCTCAGAGTTTCACAACTGAGTTGAGCCATCTGATATCATCTGATCCAAGCTCCAAAGCCGGCCTGCGCAGTCAGTTCCACCCGATAGCTCCCTTCAGGACACTGCGTTTGGTTTCTGCCTTCGGCGAAACTTGCTGGTTAAAAAGATCAAAAGAGCTCAAGAGCTGCATGGTTTTTCAACTTGTTGAGGTCACGCCTCCTGTCATAGACCATTGTCGATTCCCCGACTTGGGCACTTTGCTGCCTACAGTGCCGAACAGTTACCCAGGGCATCCCACGAGAATGAAAAACCACAGCACCATGAAGATGAAGGGCACAAGCGGGGCAATCCCACCAAAACAGCCTAATCAGCTATGCCACAGCTATAGCAACTACTGAAAATGCCCGAGGTTGAAAGTTCAGTTTCTTTGTTCTTTAATCTATGTACCAGGACGTAACATAATGTATCATCTTCGAATGTCTAAGCAGACATATGACCTTTAATTGACCCTATTGGCATCTCATGGGTAAGAAAGTACTGGGCTCTGGGGACTTTGGTGAACATCAGCGCGGTACCAGTCGAGGCTTTTTCTCGGCCGAGTCACAGGTCAACCACTTTCCCTCCTTTGGGTCATTCAGAGCCACCAAACAGCAAAGTGCCTCCAAATCACTGTGAACTGGAAATAACATGCTCTCAATTACATAATCAAGTACAGGACGCCAGAAAAACGAAGCACCAAGCAGCTTAAGCAGGACTGTGTTTCATATTTATCGAGTCATATAAGAGAATTTCTCCTGGCCTCTGGCTTCAAAAGTCCGTTGAGGATCTTTTCATCAGACCGTTTGTGGATCAGTGTGTCCACAAGTTCGTTTGGAGTCTCCTCAAAGTCGCGTTCCTTCGGCCAGGAGCCTGACGCATCTTGCACTTCCAGTTCGATGTTGATCGTTTTGCCAGAAGTCATCTGCAAGACAGTCGACCGCATCTTCTGCACCTAACAGGGTTGACAGCGTTGATGAAATGATATCGTTCATGGGGCGATTTCCAGACAGATTCATGCACCGATGGACATGGCGTTGTCGGCCACAAGCACATCACCCGCCACAGGAGGAGCCAACAAAGCTATGTGTGCAGTTCAAACAACAATGGCGAAATCATGCGAAATCCCCAGCCTCGACGGCTGAAATTGCATCAATTTGACTTTGGCTACGGAATCTCAGTCAGGAAAGCAAGCCAAGTTCCATGGTCGAAGGTGTCACGGGTTCAAACCACTGTAGTGGATTGATAATCATTCCTTCCAAGTTCAAGCTTTGTATATATATATATATACATATATATTAATATTATCATTAGTAGTATTATTATTAATTAGTAGTAGTAGTAGTAGTAGTAGTAGTAGGAGTAGTAGTAGTAGTGGTAGTAGTAGTAGTAGTACTGTAGTAGTAGTAGTAGTAGTAGTAGTAGTACTGTAGTAGTAGTAGTAGTAGTAGTAGTGTAGTAGTGTAGTAGTAGTAGTAGTACTGTAGTACTGTAGTACTGTAGTACTGTAGTACTGTAGTACTGTAGTACTGTAGTACTGTAGTACTGTAGTACTGTAGTACTGTAGTACTGTAGTACTGTAGTACTGTAGTACTGTAGTACTGTAGTACTGTAGTACTGTAGTACTGCAGTAGTAGTAGTAGTAGTAGTAGTACTAGTACTAGTATTAGTACTAGTACTAGTACTAGTAGTAGTAGTAGTAGTACTAGTACTAGTACTAGTACTAGTACTAGTACTAGTAGTAGTAGTAGTAGTACTAGTACTAGTACTAGTACTAGTACTAGTACTAGTACTAGTACTAGCACTAGTAGTACTAGTAGTAGTAGTAGTACTAGTACTAGTACTAGTACTAGTATTATTATTAATAATAGTAATAAGTAAGAGTAATAAAAAAAAAATAATATATTCCATGATATCATATCTATGTTTGGCATTTGTTTGTACGAAGAACCTGTAGTTCTTGGCAAGAAGCATTTCCTTCGGATTCAAGTCATGCGTCTTGCCCTGCTTGGACTTCATTTGCACTGCTGCCAGTTGCAGTATCTCGTAGAAGCGGACGTTTCGCCTAAGCACGGTATGATCTGCAAGCTTTGTCATTACACAAGGCCTACTCCCAACAACCCAGATGCAAGAGAAGGAAGCTGGGAAAATAAGAGGTACCGTAGAATGTCCAACTTCCCTATGATTCACCATAGGCTGGAGCAACCTGTACATCCTCAAGTTTCACAAATGAAATTTGACGATTTGCTGCCGAACTGCCGACATTTGTCGCTGGCCTTTTCGAGGACATCTATGCCGATCTGCAGAAAGCCGGAGGCGGCATCACAGAAATCGGCTTCAGACAAATCCTCAGCCAACAAGGCGACAGCAAGCCTTCACTGCCCCATTTCTTGTTCTGCTTCCAAACAAGTCGATTATCCCATGTGGCCAAGGAGCAATGTACTTGGAGTGATCCTCTGCATCAGGAAAGGTGTTGCCGGAGAAGTTGTTTGCAATGGAACAGTTGCTCTTTCCACCGCGGCATCTGGCTTGCAACAACTCTCCATGCTCTTCCAATCTTTCATGAAGCTCCTCCAGAAACCCGCAAAAACCCGCACTTCAGAACTGATAAGTAAACTATAGTAAGCTGCTCCGAAGTGGACATGGGCCAAACAGAATCTCAAAGCAATGCTAAAAATTTGTAAAAGCCAAGCAAAGCCTAAAAGGAAGTCCTGATTCAAGATCTTGACCAGGGCATGTGCATAGAGCTCGGCAGATGAATCAAAATGATGACGCAAACCGACATCCTGCTCTGATCAACTTTAGATCAACTTCAAAGTCACATCTCAACAAGGAATCATGGTGCAGTGCAGTGGAATCCATCTTAGGGCTTAGGGCTCCAACTGTTTGACATGTCTCCTTGAGGTTGTCAGCATCTTTCGACCACGGCTTGTTTGCCAGTGTGAAGCAAATCTCCACGTGTTTCCAAATCAACAGGCTCATCACATCGATCATCGGGTGCAAGGATCGAGTGAGAACCCGCTTGACAAATTGCTGAATCACCTTGTTGCCACTGTCCTGTCAAGTGGCTTCGCCGCGGTGTAAAATGAAACAACGCAGTAGAGTCAATAGAGGCAAGGGGATATGTCTTGAGTCTTGATCAGTGTAAACTCTTACCTGTTCAAGGCTGACTGCCCCTGCCTGAGAGTTCTCGGCCAGGATGTTGTTGATAAACTTGGCGTCAAACTCCATCAGAACATGCTGAAAAATGCGGCACAAAGACGCGGTGAAGACCACGTCCAAAATCCGTTCGAATGCTGCCTTTCCAACCAATTTTGCCTCCCTGAGCGTCAAGAATTTCAAGAAAAAACCCTGCATGGCATTTTGATATATGTTTTTTTTGCTCATATTCCCTTGGACTTGATAAAACATGATAAAACTCTATTCATCCTGGGCACGCACCAAAGATGCAAGAGGAGACCGCCGTAATCCAGCTGGCGTGGTCTGGCAAACCATCTCCTTGGGACAGAAGCACACCCTCTCTGACACCGCACGGGTGCAGCGGCCTACAGCGCGCAGCTTGTCACAGCAGTCTGAGCAAAGGACCATCAGAATCCTCAGAGATAGTGAAAAAGGAGCTCGTGCTCACGCCCTCCAACAGACTTTGCGTGCAGGGGCGATGCAAAGAATAGCTGGGCAAGAGATCATATCGGTGCGCTCCATGCGAAGATAGCCACTGAACATCATCACTTGCGGTGGAAGAAGACTCCAAGAAGTCATGGACATCCACCTTGCCATCCAACAGTTGAGCAACCTCATGTGCCCACTCGTGCATGATGTTGGACAGCGACCTCTTCAAAGAGTCTTTCGATTTGCTCCTCCACTGACATCCATAATAAAAATTCCAAACAGATCAAATGACCACATGGATAAAGTTTGAATCATGTGACTGACCAGTTGGACAGATAGCGACTGGATGTGACTGGCCAGTCCTTAGCTCTTGCAGTTTCACGGCAATTTCTGCATTCTCCCGACGGATGAGCGGCAAACTACGGCTGCAGAGTTCACCCAAGCGGGCGCTCTGATCGCGGTGCAGCATCTGTCGGAACTTCTCCTTTGCTGTTTGAACGCTGTGACGTCGATACTGAAATTGATATATATATATATTATATTAGTGTCATGAAATATCGTCATCAGCATCAACTCTGGTACCAACATGTACCAAAAACTGCCACTGCTACTTCTGCAACTGCCTTGAGGATCCTTCAGGCTTTCCGTAGCTGAAGCCAGCACACAAACCATATCAAGATGTTAGACGAGCATTGACAGCAGGGAATGGCAGTCGTTCAATTGGAAGCGAATGGAAGCGACTGCTAAGCCGGCCAATTGTGCTGCCACGGAGCCAAACCAACGCACTCCAAGGCTTCAGCACATACATTGACACGACGTTTCCTTGCTTCGTTCAATAGGCTGGATAGGAGTGGCAGTATCAAGTCTGCTCCATTCAACAGTTCAAGGAATTTCCTTTCTTCAAATTACCCTCTGGTTATTTAACATAGCCATGGAAAATGGCCCATTTATAGATGGTTTACAGTACCTATTAAAAATGGTGGATCTTTCCATGGCAAACCGTTAGTCATAACCAGAGGGTAAATTTTGAAAAAAAAAAAAAAAACGCGGTTGAGGCACCACTCTTGGATCAAATTGTTTTCCTGCTCGCAGGATTCGCCAAGTGCTCGCTTCTGTTTCTCCAGATCTGGGTTGTTGCGATCGCTGTTGATGCAAGGCCATCCAGTGATGCAAATCTTTTTGAAGCCCTGGCAAACAGGCATGAACCAGGCATCTTCAAACAAAGCTGCGAGTTTTAGATGTTCAATCTGTCAAAGTCACTGGAAGAAGGGAAAAGCATATTATAATATAATATATATATAATTATATATAGCTGGTTCCACACATTTTTGCGAGCTTTGCAGCAAACTACTGCTGGCATTTCCAACTCTAGGTGATCCCAACAGCTGGCTTTCATGCGGCCTTCTTGTTGGCAGTTTCCCAAAAGTCAGTCCAATCAGATTGATTTGACCATTGACCCTTTTCAGCCATCTTCTCATCGCACTTGTTGACAACCGCAATGATGTCGCTATAACTTCCTGTCACATGTCACTGAGTGCAGTGAAAATGAATTGGATGCCACGTGTGGCATGCAACTATTGTACAGAAACTCAGCAAAATCGTCCCTGATATTTTGCCATATTTTGCCTATGTTCAACCAGAGACTGGCAAATTGCCAGTCTCAGTTCCACCAACTCTAGACATTTGGAAATCAAAGCCACTCAGCTGTCTTTCGTGCCCGAGCATCGGCCGGCACGTTTCAGCAAGTCGAAAGCGAAATGCTTCGAGTCGAAATCTTTCGGCTCCAAAATCACCACCGGAATGACATTCGCATTGCGGAGTCTTTTCAGGATCATATTCTCTGGCGCCTCATTTGCCAACCCACCCAGCCACACTCAATCAGTAGCTACAATGGACTAAGGTAACAGAGCCAACTTACTCTAAGGAAACCTGAACGAGAGCTAGCTGGCAAGAAAATGTCCAACCACAGAGAAAAATGTTCAGTAAGCAAAATGGGAAGAATCCGTGTCGCCGTCTTTCATCCCTGGCATGTCTGCCACAATGACAGATTCTGGGATGTCTCTCCACAGGATCTTGACAGAAACAGCAGAGTCTCTGAACCCTTCCGTGCCGTTTTCTTCGATCATGACTTTCAGGAAGTCTTCCTCAGATGTTCAGATTTGAACAGAGCAAGATTCACAAACGAGGTCAAATAGCGAGCCAAAGACTAAGTCATGTCATCTGTCATGTTTGCCCAGTAAAGCCAAGTGTCAACGGCCACCTTCTTTGAGTTCACTTCGATGTCCGGCTCCCGCTTCGAGGGATCGTGTATTAAATTGTACTCCACGGGACGCCGCCTGCAGTTTATATAAAAATGTTGCATTTTTGGGGGGAATTATTCTCGTTTTTTTTTTGTTTGTTTTGCCGTCTGGGGCACTTTTCCTTGCTATTTGCTTCATTTTGGAGCAAAAACACTGCTGAATTTTGGAGCTAAAATTTACCATTTGCATTGTTCATCGATTTTTCCATTGTTTTACTCGATTTTTCCATGGTGTGCATTGATTTACCCAAAGTGTTCATCGATTATTCCATAATTTTTCATTGAATTTTCCATGGTTTCAATCGATTTTTCCATGCATAACATGCACCTAGTGAACATGGTTGAAGCACAACCGTGTTGGGTCTAAATAGTGGCATTGGATGCTATCATAGTGTTGGTTGGTTTAGTGTTTATCTAGGGTTGGTTTAGGGTTGGTTTAGGGTCATTTAGGATTGGTTTAGGGTTTATTTAGGGTTGGTTTAGGGTTGCTTTAAAGTTTATTTAGTGTTGGTTTAGGGTTTTTTTCATTGTTATTTAGGGTTGGTTTAGGGTTGGTTTAGGGTTGTTTTAGGGTTTATCTAGGGTTGGTTTAGAGTTTATTTTGGGTTATTTAGGGTTGGCTTAGATTTATTTAGGGTTTAGGGGTTATTTAGGGTTGGTTTAGGGTTTATTTAGGGCTGGTTTAGGGTTGGTTTAGGGCCTATTTAGGGTTAGTTTAGGGTTTATTTCGGGTTGGTTTAGTGTTGTTTAGCTTAGGGTTATTTAGTTTAGGGTTGGTTTAGGGTTTATTTAGGGTTGGTTATGTCGGGTTGGTTTAAAGTTTCTCTAGGGTTGGTTCAAGGTCTTTTTAGGGTTTATTTAGGATTGGTTTCAAGTTTATTTAGGGTTATTTAAGGCTATTTAGGGTTATTTAGGGTAAGTTTAGGGTCTACTTAATTCGGTTGAGGGTCGGATTAAGGTGCATGTAGGGATACAAGGTGTGTATATAAAGAGAATATATATATATATATAGACATGATTGATAGATAGATAGATAGATAGACAGACAGATAGATTTATAGATAGATAGATGGATGGATCGATGGATCGATTGGTAGATTGGTAGATTAGATAAATTAGATAAATTAGATAAATTAGATAGGTTAGATAGATTAGATAGGTTAGATAGATTAAATAAGATTAGATAGATTAGATAGACTAGATAGGTAGATAGATAAGATAGTTAAGATAGATAAGATAGATGGATAAGAAAGAAAGAAAGACAGAAAGACAGACAGAAAGATAGATAGATAGATTAGATAGATTAGAATAGCTTAGATAGATCATACATGTAGATGAGGTAGGTTGGGTGGATTAGATAGATTAGATAGATAGATAGATGAGGTAGATTAGAGAGATTAGATAGATTAGATAGATTAGATAGATTAGATAGATTAGATTGATTGATCGCTTGATAGATTGATTGATTGATAGATTTATAGATAGATTTATAGATGGATGGGTGGGTGGATAGATAGATAGGATAGGATAGGACAGGATAGGATAGGATAGGGTAGGGTAGGGTAGATTAGATAGATACATTAGGTTAGATAGGATAGATTAGATAGATAGGATAGATTAGATAGATAGGATAGATTAGATAGATAGGAAAGATAGATAGATAGGATAGATTAGGTCGATAAGATAGATTAGATCGATAGGATAGATTAGATATTTTTGTTAGATTAGATAGATTAGATAGATAGATAGATAGATAGATAGATAGTTCGGTAGGATAGATAGGATGGATAGATAGATAGATAGATAGAATAGATAGAATAGATAGAATAGATAGAATAGAATAGATAGATAGATAAGATTAGATAAGATTAGATTTAAGATTAGATTAGATAAGATTAGATAAGATAAGATTAGATTAGATTTAAGATTAGATTAGATAAGATTAGATAAGATTAGATTAGATAAGATTAGATAAGATTAGATAAGATTAGATAAGATTAGATTAGATAAGATTAGATAAGATTAGATAAGATTAGATAAGATTAGATAAGATTAGATTAGATAAGATTAGATAAGATTAGATAAGATTAGATAAGATTAGATAAGATTAGATACGATTAGATACGATTAGATAAGATTAGATAAGATTAGATAAGATTAGATAAGATTAGATAAGATTAGATTAGATTAGATTAGATTAGGTAAGATAAGATTAGATAAGATCAGATAAGATCAGATAAGATTAGATAAGATTAGATAAGAAAAGATAAGATAAGATTAGATAAGATTAGATAAGATTAGATAAGATTAGATAAGATTAGATTAGATTAGATTAGGTAAGATAAGATCAGATAAGATCAGATAAGATCAGATAAGATTAGATAAGATTAGATAAGATTAGATAAGATTAGATAAGATTAGATAAGATTTAAGATTAGATTTAAGATTAGATTTAAGATTAGATTTAAGATTAGATTAGGTAAGATAAGATTAGATAAGATCAGAAAAGATTAGATAAGATTAGATAAGATTAGATTAGATAAGATTAGATAAGATTAGATAAGATTAGATTAGATTAGATTAGATAAGATTAGATAAGATTAGATAAGATTAGATAAAATTAGATAAGATTAGATAAGATTAGATTAGATTAGATAGATAGATACGTTAGGCTAGATAGATAGATAGATTCATTCAGAAAGATTCATTCAGAAAGATTCATTCAGATAGATTCAGATAGATTCAGATAGATTCACTCAGATAGATTCATTCAGATAGATTCATTCAGATAGATTCAGATAGATTCATTCAGATAGATTCAGATAGATTCAGATAGATTCATTCAGATAGATTCATTCAGATAGATAGATTCAGATAGATAGATTCAGATAGATAGATAGAGATAGATAGAGAGAGATAGATAGATAGATAGATAGATAGATAGATAGATAGATATAGATAGATAGATAGATAGATTGGTAAAGCAAGATAGATAGATTGGTAAAGCAAGATAGATAGATTGGTAAAGCAAGATAGATAGATTGGTAAAGCAAGATAGATAGATTGGGAAAGCAAGATAGACAGATTGGTAAAGCAAGATAGATAGATTGGTAAAGCATGGTAAAGCATGGTAAAGCATGGTAAAGCATGGTAAAGCATGGTAAAGCCACAAAAGCCACACACCCACAAAAGCAACAGAAGCCACAAAAGCCACAAAGCCAGACAGGAAAACAAAGAAAATCCAAAAAAAAAACAAAACATCCCCCACAAAAAAACCAACCCTCCATATAAAAAGACAACCCACAATACAAACATTGCTGAAAGCACCAGCATCAGTAAGTAGAAAGAATTCTGTTTCCCGATGTCATCGCAAATTCACTTAACATGAGAAGTACTCGTTGCATTCCAGGCGCGTTCCGGTTTTGTTGGCCGTGTAGCCCAGAGGCATACGCGCAAGTCGACTCAGCAACGAAGTCTTGCCGCTTGACTGGTCGCCCACGAGGATGTAGGACGGCACCACCTATTGGCTCGCCCAGATTGGCTCTACACTTGCAGCAGCCAAGCTTTAAACTGCATCCATCGGCATTTAACACAGGAACAAGCTGATGACATCACTGAAATTGCTCTTCACTCAGCTCTCTGTGGAAACAAAATGTCCAACCTTGATCTTGGCGAGTTCACTGTCTGGCCGCAGTTCGCAATAATGGTTCACCTGCACGATTTGGCCAGAACCATCTTCAAGACTTTCTGTGCTAGAATTCGGACAACAAACACAAACATGCAATCAATACCACCAACCACACATCACAAACCAAGCACCAAAGCACCTCCCGGGCGAATTCAAACAGTTTGTTGTCCGAGTTCGTCGACATGACTGGGGTGAGTGGATGTAACGCAGGCACGATGCTGATTCCAAAACTCTGCGGCCAAGCCAAGCAAGGAGCAGCAGGTCAGGTCCAGGTCCATACAGGCAGGATAAATATACTCCATGCGTTGCAAGTTTAGCGTTTGCAGCGTTGCGTTTTCAAATTTTCCTCTCAGAAATAGTATGTCACGGCAACAGAACCAACCTCTGACACACGCACCAAAAAGAGTGTACAAAACATTGCAAACACTGATACGCGCCAAACAGTGGAAGCCATTTGGAACTGTTGAGACAGTGACATTCTTGTGGAAATGCAAGTAGCAGCAACACTTGTGTAAAGTCCATGATTGGATACTGTCCCCATTGCTTTCATGCCACAGACAACCAATATTGGGCTTCTGATCAAAAATCAAAAGTTGCATATGCAAAAGTTTCAAGCAGGACTCCATCAAATTAAATGTCTCTTCATAAAAGCAACACTGTCAGTCCGACACCCAAAAAAATGAAGCTCCCCCAACTACACAAAATGTCCATCTACACCAATCGGTTTCCCTTGTTGCGGCCAAAATGAAGACTACATGAACGACTGACTCCTTATGATATTGTCACTTGCTTTGATAGATTTTGGGTCTCTCGGACATTTCAAGAGCTTCATCATGCACAGATTTGTTGCCAAGCCAATTTGGCATGTCCAAAAACTGCCCCAAATGAAAAGATCAGGTTCATGTGGGCATTGTAAATACATTTGGGCCATAAATAGAACAACAGTCAACTTCACTCGCCAATACACTCTCAAACCTCCCTCATTCTTTCGACCCCACAGCGTCCACATCGCTGCAGAATCTACACTGGTTGTGGCTCAGGAAAACTGTGGGCCTTGCCCTCACAAAATTTCTGCCCGGAGCAACCGTCTCCCATGCTCATGGCCACTGCAAAGTGCCCGTGAGTTCCTACCCGCACTTGCAAAATTCTACCCTCCAGGTTCAAAATGTAAAATAGCATTGATTCATATAGATTCATATAGAAAGGTTGCAAAGACACTGCAACGAAATTCTCCCAGACTCGTGGAACTCTTTCTTTTTTGCAGAGTTGAAATGTTTTAAACCAAAAAAAACGATCTCCCTGTGGCAGTGAGCAAGGGATGCTGGCTGACCGGGCCGAAAATCACAGCAGATCTGTCGCAAATCGAAGCTTGAACTAATCGACCAACGGAAAGCATCCATCATTTCATGTCCATTATTGTCCATCCAACCTGCCACATACATCATATACATCTATGTTTGTGGAATTGGAATGGCTGCATAAAATTTCTAGAATAGCCCGCAGTGACCATCCTCTGCGTGCTTTGAGTGCAGCATGTCAAAAAATTGTGCACTCGAGCTTTCACACAAGTGGACTCACAAAAGGTCGTCAGAACTTCAAGCACTTCAGAATGCGCCTCCCTCGCAGTTACTCGCAGTTGACTGCCGCACCATCCATCAAGCGAAGAGTGGAGTTTCAGCACGCTTGCCAGTTGGCAAGTCCCAAAAGAAACGTTTGAAAAGTGAGACTTTGCTGTATATCTTGAATATTTTTTTTTAAAAAAAAAGCAACCGTGTAATTCTTCTCCACTTTCAGATGGACCCGCAGCGCAGCTTGCCGCAAATGGCAGTGTTTGTCTAAGAAAATCGATCTTTCAGCCTACATCGTCAACCCCCCAAGTCACCATGGCGTGATCACGAGACAGTAGAGTCAGGAAGCTCCTGTGGCAATCGGTCGGAAAAAAATGCAGGATGCACAGGGGATTTAACCAACTCATTTGGGTATAATCAATTTACCAAAACCGCAAGGGAGATTTCTATGACCGCTAAAATATGGATAGATGTTGTGGGGCTTATAAGGCTGCCTAAGGTTCATTAAAGACCAACAACCACGTTTATGATGGCGAATCTTCACGATCTACCCTCTGGTAAACTAACATAACTATGGAAAATCACCATTTTCAATGGGAAAATCCACTATAAATGGTAATGTTCAATAGCTATGTTAAATTACCAGAGGGTATCCAGTGGTTGATGAATGCGACCTCCAAGGCCTGTCCTTCGCCGTACACGGTCCAGCACTGGTCATGAAGGGCGAATCCTTGAAGCACACCTGGCCATGGGCAACCAATTACCCTCTGGTAAACTAACATAGCTATTGAAAATGGCCATTTATAGTGGATTTTCCCATTAAAAATGGTGATTTGCCATAGTTACGTTAGTTTACCAGAGGGTATCACGCATGGTAGGGGAAAATCACTTGAGACTCGGGAACTACGTGTGATTTGCTCGTTTCCTTGACCAGCTCAAATCTGTGGTCAGTGTTCGCGATTGAATCCGCCCGTGGCACATGTTTGCGGTAAGCATCCTTATATAATTTGGGGCAGTGAACTCTTCGTTCTCGTTCCTTCGGGTGCTTGCAAGGGCAACTTTGGCAGGTGCACCGTGCCCTCTCCGTTGGTCTTCAATTCGGGTGCAACCTGAGAAGCAATCAGCAAGGTGATTGGAAATCGCTGCTTGGAATTGCGGACTGTTTAGACTTGAGAAGTGGAGCAACCATTCATATCTTTGTTTTTTGTGTTGCCTTCTGGGTCCTGCATTGTTGATGTAGTGAAATGATCTATATACATGACATCCTGCAAAGGTTGTTCTATTGGAGGGTTCCTGAGCAACCAGTCTTGCTTTCCACAGTATCCCCCTGGAATCCCCCTCAAACTCAACCTGGTTCCTTCCCTCACCAGGGCCGGCCTTTTCGTAGAGTTTCTTCTTGCCAACCTTCCAAAACCGTTGTCGGCATCACCACTCACCCTGCCCTTGGTGGGTACATCCAAACACCGCAAGGGAGTTGGTTCTACTAGAATCAGCGGTGGAAGCCCTCGTGAAAATCTATTACACTGATCAAAGGAAGTTTAGGGGGAGAAACTTCCGTGTTACGGACTTTTAGAATGTCAGGGAAAGAGTTAGTCAAAGAAAGAATTAGCAAAGAAAGAGTTAGTGAGGGAAAGAGTTAGTCACAGAAAGAGTTAGCAAAGAAAGAGTTCGTCAGGGAAAGAGTTAGTCAAAGAAAGAGTTAGTCAAAGAAACAGTTAGTCAGGGAAAGAGTTAGTCAAAGAAAGAGTTAGTGAGGGAAAGAGTTAGTCAAAAAAAGAGTTAGCAAAGAAACAGTTAGTCAGAGAAAGAGTTAGTCAAAGAAAGAGTTAGTGAGGGAAAGAGTTAGTCACAGAAAGAGTTCGCAAACAAAGAGTTCGTCAGGGAAAGAGTTCGTCAAAGAAAGAGTTAGTCAAACAAACAGTTAGTCAGGGAAAGAGTTAGTCAAAGAAAGAGTTAGTGAGGGAAAGAGTTAGTCAAAGAAAGAGTTAGCAAAGAAACAGTTAGTCAGGGAAAGAGTTAGTCAAAGAAACAGTTAGTCAGGGAAAGAGTTAGTCAAAGAAAGAGTTAGTGAGGGAAAGAGTTAGTCAAAGAAGGAGTTAGCAAAGAAACAGTTAGTCAGGGAAAGAGTTAGTCAAAGAAAGAGTTAGTGAGGGAAAGAGTTAGCAAAGAAACAGTTAGTCAGGGAAAGAGTTAGTCAAAGAAAGAGTTAGTGAGGGAAAGAGTTAGTCAAAGAAAGAGTTAGTGAGGGAAAGAGTTAGTCAAAGAAAGAGTTAGCAAAGAAACAGTTAGTCAGGGAAAGAGTTAGGGGAAAGAGTTAGTCAGGGAAAAGTTAGTGAAAGAAAGAGTTAGTAGTCACAGAAAGAGCTCGCAAAGAAAGAGTTAGCGTCAGGAAAGAGTTCGTCAGAAAGAGTTAGTCAAAGAAAGAAACAGTTAGTCAGGGAAAGAGTTAGTCAAAGAAAGAGTTAGTGAGGGAAAGAGTTAGTCAAAGAAAGAGTTAGTCAAAGAGAGTTAGAGGATATATGAGGTAGTGAAAGAAAGAGTTAGCAAAGAAACAGTTAGTCAGGGAAAGAGTTAGTCAAAGAAAGAGTTAGTGAGGGAAAGAGTTAGTCACAGAAAGAGTTAGCAAAGAAATTGTTCCCTCACTGTAAATGGGATTGCAAGTGGTGCTGGTGGAGGAGTTGCCGATGGAGTTTTGAAGGAAGTCTCGCACGAAATGCGTTTTTGAGAGATAGCAGATGCACGAAACCCTATGTTTTTCCGGACAAAGTGCGTCCGCGAAGGTCGATGATCTACCTCTGCGGTGCGACGGGTGCGAGACGGTCTTGTGTGTGGTCGGATCATGCTCGGATCGGTCTCGGACCATGGTCGGACCATGGTCGGACCATGGTCGGATCGGTTCCGCATTGTAAATGGGGTGTCACCTGTGTTTCGTGCATTTGCGGTCGACAGAATTCCATTGTGATTTGCAACTGTAGGATCGTTCCCGCAATGTAAATAGGATTGCGAGTGGTGCTGGTGGATGAGTTGCCGATGGAATTCCATTGTGATTTGCAACTCTAGGATCGTTCCCTCACTGTAAATGGGATTGCAAGTGGTGCTGGTGGAGGAGTTGCCAATGGAGTTTTGAAGGAAGTCTCGCACGAAATGCGTTTTTGAGAGATAGCAGATGCACGAAACCCTATGTTTTTCCGGACAAAGTGCGTCCCCGAACGTCGATGATCTACCTCTGCGGTGCGAAGGGTGCGAGACGGTCTCGTGTGTGGTCGGATCATTCTCGGATCATGCTCGGATCATGTTCGGATCATGTTCGGATCGGTTCCGCATTGTAAATGGGGTTTCACCTGTGTTTCGTGCATTTGCGGTCGACAGAATTCCATTGTGATTTGCAACTGTAGGATCGTTCCCGCAATGTAAATAGGATTGCAAGTGGTGCTGGTGGATGAGTTGCCGATGGAATTCCACTGTGATTTGCAACTCTAGGATCGTTCCCTCACTGTAAATGGGATTGCAAGTGGTGCTGGTGGAGGAGTTGCCGATGGAGTTTTGAAGGAAGTCTCGCACGAAATGCGTTTTTGAGAGATAGCAGATGCACGAAACCGTATGTTTTTCCAGACAAAGTGCG